AGTGTTCGCCACGTCAGTTAATAATATCCTACTCTTCACGTGTCATAGTCTCATAGATAGCTGCGGTTATTTAACACATACATATAGCCTAGAATAATGCACAATATGGCCGAATTCAACACACTTTTGCCATTTTCAGATATATAAACAGAAGGGCTAATTATCAAGGGAAATTTATTTAATTGACCTTTTCGAAATATCATATTAAAAAATAACTAACTTTTAAATAAATTTTTAAGTAAGATTTCTTATGAGAATTTTGGGTACTTTTATTTTATCCTTCACACAATCACACTTAATCACAAAAATATCGGCTGCTTTTGTTTCCTTTTTTAAAAAATACTCTATTTCTATCCTAAAAAAAATTGCATGTTTGTTTCCATATTCTCAAAATCATATCCTATAATATTTAACTATTTCAACCCCCATAGGTTTGTTAATTTAATTAAACACCCCCAACAAAAAGTTTTCTAAATTGACAAAAACACCTTCACTTATTCATATTTGTCAGATTCCGACAACCATCACCAGAAGGTGGCTGGAATCTGGCGTAATAGCGTACCACCGACTGGATCTGGCCGGTAGTGCGTCGATCTGAAAAAGTGGATCTGGCTGAAAAAAGTCAGATCTTTAGCCACATATGGCCGTCAATGATGGCTAATATATGGCCGTCATTGATCGTCAACGACGACCATATATTTGGTCGCCAATCTGGTTGTCAACGGCCAGAGCCGACTATAGATCTGGCTTTTTCTGGCAAAATTCGTGGTGAATCTTGCCAGAAAAGGCCATAGCAGAGCAAGACCAGCTAGATCTGGCCGATCGTGTATAATGACACCAGATTCCAGCGATGGTAGCCGAAATCTAGCAACAGTGGGTGGGTGGGGGTATTTTTGTCAATTTATAAACTTTTTATTATTGAGGTGTTTAGATAAATTAACAAACCTGTAGGTTTTTTTGTTAATTTTTAAATCCTACCTCGTAATAATAACCTAACTCAACTTAACAATAATATTTCAAAAATACTACTCAAAATAATAAAACAAACACATCCGATCATTATTTTCATTAAAATTAAAAAAAAAAAAGTTTTTGATTTAAGATTGAAATGTAAAATATGCGTTTGGTTTATTATTTTGGATAGGATTTTGGGAATAATATGAGTGTATTTAGTTTATTATTTTGGATAGGATTTCGGGGATAATATTTGATAATTGAATATGGGAGTATTACGAGATAAAATTTAAAAATTTATAAAAAAACCCCTAAGTTTGCTAATTTAATAAATACCCCCCAACATGTAAAATGACAAAAATACCCCCACCACCTGTAGTGCCAGATTCCGGCTACCACCGTCAGAATATGGCCGGAAAATCGCATTATGACACAGACCGGTCGGATCTGTGTCATAACGCGTCGTTATGGCCTTTTTCGGCTAGATCCACCACGGATCTGACCGGAAAAGGCCAGATCTAAGGCCTGCCGTGGCCGTCGACGACCGAAAAAGGCCAAAACGATGGCCAAAGATATGGCCGTCGTTAACCTCAATGACGGCCATTTCTTTGGCCATCATTCACGGCCAGATCGGTGAACTTCCAGCCATTTATGGTCATCAGGTAGGCCGTTGTACAGATTCCGACTACCACCGATGGTGTTTGCCGGAATCTGGCAAGTATGGGTCACGAGGGTATTTTTGATAATTTTTAAACTTTGTTTTCAGGGTTTATTTGATGAAATTAATAGCCTTATGGGGTCTAAAAGTAATTAAAAAAATAGGGTAATATTTCTGGAATAATGTACCAAACATTATTTGGAGAATAGGATTGAGAATAGGGATAAAAATAATAAGCCAAACATGGCCATTGAGTAGTTGAATAGGAGAGTATTACGAGGTAAAATTTAAAATTTGTTAAAAAACCCCATAGGTTTGCTAATTTAATTAAACACCCCAATATATAAAAATTTTGTAAAATGACAAAAACACACCCACCACCAGCAGTGCCAGATTCCGGCCACCAGCGCCGGAATCTAGCCAGAAAATTGCATTACGACATAGACCGATCGGATATGTGTCATAATGCGTCAATATGGCATTTTTCGGCTAGATGTGGTCGTCGACGGCTGCAAATGTCCATTTTTGGCCGTCAACGATGGCCAAAGATATGGCCGTCGTTGTCGGTCAACGATGGCCAAGATTTGGCCGTCGTTGACCGTCAACGACGACCATTTCTTTGGCCGTCACTGACGACCAGATCGGTGATTAATCGGCCATTTTCGGTCATTTTATAAGCCGTTGTGACATATTTTGGCTACCACCAACGATGGTTGCCGGAATCTGGCAAGTATGGGTGGATGGGGGTGTTTTTGCTAATTTTTAAACTTTTTTGGGGGTATTTAATGAACTTAATAAACTTAAGGGGTCAAAAATTAATTAAAAAATACACTAATATTTCTTAAATAATGTGCCAAACAATATTTGGGGAATAATTGAGAATATGGGTAGAAATATTGAACCAAACACACCCAGATTTTTGGTTTTTTTTTTTGAAAGAATTTAGCATCAAAAGGTATATAAAATGTAGAAATATGTTTAGCGTATAAAAAAAAAGTAAAAAAAAAAAATTTTGTTAATTCAAATTAGGTTGAAAATTCATTTTTTTCATGAAAAATGATGATCAAACCCAAGCAAATTTGAATAAACTTGAATCGTTTGCACCTTGTCACTCAAGTTGCTCGAGTTCAATCGCTCAAGTGGAGGTATAATGAGATTAACCTCGCTCGAGTGTACCTTATGAAATATTAATATAACCCATATAAAATATTAAGAAGACTTACTCGAGCAAGGTTAATACCATTATAACCCACTTGAGCAACTAGACCCGAGCGACTTAAGTTTTTGCAATTTTTCTAGAAATTAGATTTTATGATTCAAATATGAGAAAGTGGGTTTTTTCTCCCCCTAAATATGCAATATCTGATTTATATTAAACACATATGAACATAATATTATCCTAAATATATAAAAATGATAAAAACAAAAAAACATAAATTTAAAGAAAAAAGAGGAGAAAGAAAGAAGTGAAGTGAAGTGAATTAATTAAATTGAAGGAGAAGGGCAAAATCGTTCAAACTCTGTGTCAAAGGTCTTACTTACAAAGATAATTAGAGATGGATTGTTTTTAATTTGACTCTTAAAATAAGGTCATATAAATAATTATTTCAATTTTAAAAAAACACCTTATAATTTGTAAAATTTATTAAATATGTATTAGGTTTAGGCTTATTTCTCAAATCAATTTTTGCTTAGATCCATTCTGTATGTAGTATTACAGATATTAATTAGATATAAAAACCAATCTAATATTAGTGTGTGGGAAATGATTTCAACTAAAAGCATTAAAGTTGTCAATTGCATTGTTTTAAAAACCGACTCGTTGTGAGACCCAACTAGTTGATCGGGTCACGGGTCGATTGGTTCAACAGTTGGACCGATTAAGTCAACAACAAAAGTATTTTTAAAAATTATAAATTAGTCCCTTAAATTTTAGTATATTAAAAAACCCCGAATAAATTTTAAATTAGTCCCTAAAATTTTAATTTATTTTTAAAATACCCAAAAAATTCAATTAGTCCCTAAAGTTTTAAAATATTGTAAACACCCCCTAATAATTACAAATTAGTCCCTATAAATTTGAAATATAACAAAACCCCCTAAAACCTAAACCGAACCGAAGAGACTGCAAGGTCCTGGTCGGTCCAGGTTTTAAAACAGAGATAAGTTGTGTAAGGGCATCTCCAACCCAATGCTATTTTGGTGTAAAAACACCAAAATTGTGTGTAAGAGACCTCCAATCTAGCGCCAAACATTGCACCAATTTGGTGTCAATGTATAGTGCCACGCCAAATTTGGTGTAACACTATTCATGCACACCAATTTGGCATGGCACTGTTCAAACAGTATAAAATATATATATATATATAAAATAAATTCATGATAATTATATAATTCAAAAAATGATAAAAAATTAAATTACTATCAATATAAAATTTTACTTTTGTGTTATTTATTTATTTATTTTTTTTTTTGGTATCATTTTATATTAGATATAATGTTTTTTTACATTAAATGTAATGTTTATTTGATTAAATAAATACTTAATTTTATTAAACTAGTATAATTTTTAAAGTAATTATTATTTAATAAAAATATCATTCCCAATATTTAATTAATATATACAAAAATAATGAGTGAAATAAATTAATTGTTGATTATTACAATAAAACAAAGAGAAAGAGAATATTCTAAAGAATATTTAATAAAAATATCATTCCCAATATTTAATTAATATATACAAAAATAATGAGTGAAATAAATTAATTGTTGATTATTACAATAAAAGAAAAAAAAAGAAAATATTCTAAGGAATATTCTTTTTAATGTAATATTTGATACAATAGATTAGATATGTAATAGTGTTTCACACAAAAAATCACACCAATTTGGTGTGAAACTTGCACCATGCGTTGGAGATGGTCTAAGAAAGGGAAAGATTTTGTAACAGAGGAAAAAGAAAAAGTTTAGTTAATGCGAGCAGATAGTGTAAGCTTTTGGTCAAGAGAGGGTGAGGCGTGTGGACAAATTTTTCATTATAAGAAAGGAGAGTTTTAATACATCTATATTTGCACAAAACCATTAGCATGTAGAAGACAAGATGAGCATTCAGCCATCCACAGCCCAGGAAAGGGAGATGAAAACATCTATTAATAAAAAGAACTTGGTGCACGTTTCATAGAATGAAAGATTAGTCATAAATTCAGGAATGCTAAACCAGCCAAGAACACTGAATATAAGAATATGAATATCCTCAGCACTCCCAAATCCCAAAATTTCGCCCGGCAAAAAGGAAAGATGGATCGAACAAAATAAACGACTACTTTCAGTGAACATCTAACATCAGATAAACAGAGCCGAAAAACATGTAAAGTGAACTAGTTCTGAGTTTCCCAACTCCTGCGCCAAGTGAACAAACTTTTTGCATTGGATAAACTCGAATAGCCTACTTGAGAGAACTTGATGTATAATATGTTTTAAAACAAAATGTGGCCCAAGGGCACACCTTACATTGGAAAGCTCGACATGTATTAGATGTATCATCCGACTCTGGCCTACTAAGTTCTACAACCATGCCTAATTAGAGTCAAAGCTGTACCATATTGCTGTGTGCACCTGCTAAGCGATGTCGAGCGAATCTGGAAGGACGGCTCTTGCCTTCTGATGTCCTTCTTGAAACACCCCACAATCTGGTGTATGACAACCACCCTCTTAGGAAGTGAACCAACTTGAACTCTGGTGCAGGCATTTCCTCCACATGTTCATAATTATAGTAGTTGTAGCTGTCCTCTTGATTTCGTAAACTATCTTCATAAGCGAGACCAGGATGTCTCTTCTCTCCACAACCATTTGATCCTGATGATGAGCTTACTTCTTGATTTTCTAAATAATTTTCTTCACCAGCAAGATAAGTATGTCTCATCTCTTCAAGAGCAACTGATCCTGACGATGACCTTGTATAAAAAGCTTTCAGTTCCACTTCTCAATAAGCAGAATGTAGAAAATGAATGGATATTTCAAATAATTGTTAACAAGATAATCAAGAGAGGGACGTTGGCCTCACAGCTAACCAGAATCAACCAGTTTGAATTGGCTTCATTATCCACAACAAACTTTCGTCTCATACTTTTACTTCTCTAACATTTACATAATTAAGAGCATTATGTACTTTGGGTACCCTTATATCCTGCAATACTCAACCATGCTAATCTCAAACTAGAGGAACGAGCTATAAGAATTTAAGAGGGAAAAAGGTTGAGCTATTTGTTTCAGATCTGTTTACTAAGTTTGTTATCTTGTTTTTTCTTATAAGCTCTTTTAACTTTCATCTAAGAAAATATTCCTAAACAAGCTGTGACTTATACAATGGTGGAAACACAAAGCTTCTTCTAATGATGAACATGCATGGTTAAGTTAACCATTGTAAAAACCAAACAGAGATTCTTACATTGAATGCTGGGTGGAAACAACACTCTGGGTTCTAGACAGTCTTTTTGAATGTAAGTAGTTGATAGACATATGCCTAACAAATTGAAGCTGCAGATACCAAAACAGAAAAAAAAAATAGAGAAACTTGTAAGCAGCTACTGAAATACTGGAAAAAAATAAAATAAAAAAGATAATACAGGAATCCCCCACAAAGAACGCATGAAAACCAAAAGAACATAGCAAGGATGCAGATGTACGAACTTCCATTCACATTTGAAATCTTTCTAATGGGTAAAAGAATATTGTTTTCCAGGTTCTTGGAATGCAGAGGGGAGGTCAAAGAAGTAGAAGTTGAAGGCTTACAAAGAACAACCACTTGGCAATCAGAAACAGGGAGATCTGGCTCAGTAGTTTATGATGTATCAGAAGATTATCTTACAAAGTATGGAATGGAGAACCAGAGTTTATCAAGTTAATGTCAAATGATTGCTTAATTACCAAAAACCACAGAAAAAAACTTCATGTGAGTAGCATAGAAAAAAGATTATGGCCTTAGCAATTGCTCCTAATGCAAATGATGAACTGTTACTCATATTAATATACATGTGAACGTAGTACGTAGATTTACTTAAATTTGCAATAACCAACTTTACAGGCCAGAAAGGATTAAGAACCTGATGTCGCACTCACACATGCATTTGGAAGCTCAAATTTTATAAAACAACGTTTAGCACATGCCAAATTACTTCTCTATCAAGGACCTTTGTGTCTCAAGTCTCTGCCAATTAACTTTGAGCTACTACTAATGCTACAAATAATCCAGAACTGTAGTCTGTGATCATATTTTCAGAGTCAATCTGTCCTAACAAAAGAATATAACAGGAACAAGTTAACATGTTCATTAAACAAATGGAGCTTCTAGTCAACAAGTGTTTCCCAACACAATAGTCAGATTTTGAACTTCCAACATACATATATCCCTATTCCTAGTGAAGATAACCCACATTATTATCATCCAAGGGTGTCTTCGAATATGCAAATGTGTTATCATCTTAAAGTTATGCTAACTCCTAATATCAAGCTCCAAAAGAACCATGATATGGTAGAAAAGTAAAAATCAACAATTCCTTAAAACATCAAAGAGTGAGACAAACCTGATCGCCATCCTTGATCCGAAAATCCTGAATTCGAGCTTTGTCATTAACCAACTTTTGACCTTCATAGGATAAGCAAAAGTGTCCCCAAACATGCATCCTGAGCTCATCAAATTAAAAAATAAATAAATCAACACAATTCATCAAAGCTACATATATATAATCGGAACATAGTCAATTAATCAACTTTTACCATGAAATTTTTCCTTGACTGTCCCTTGGGGACAAAGCAAAAACTTCCTCTACGGCTTCTTTAAGCTCTGCCACTGTAACATTCCTCGCAACATGCACATCTGCAAACAAAATTCTCTGTCAAATTCAAACAACTCAAAGCCAAACACTAAAAAATTCTTCTCTCTTTGACAAAAATCTCACAATTTGTATTTGAAATAACTTCAATAATAACAATTATATAACAAATTTCCTTCTCCACTCAAACATATGCCATTTTCAGCTTCTAATTTTCAAAAAAAGTTTCCCTAAGGATGCGTTGTCGGAAGCGCATTAATATAGCCAAATAATCAAAACAGATGAAAAAACTTAAATAAAAATTAAAAGTAAAAATCATCTGAGTGTTTTGTGGAGAAGCATCCAATTTTGGTGCCTTTTCCAAAAAGAACTTTCAAATGCTTTCATATAAAGTGATTTCCATGAAATACACAGCTTTTCAAAACAAGCCTTTCAGAAAATAAAAACACGCACTAAACAACAACATTAGAGAAAAATTAAAACAAAAAGTTACGAACCGAAGAAAGAACCGTCGAGCTTCAAAACAGAGAGACTGAGCTGAGTCTGAGGAAGCCTAATATACGTTAGCTTCCGTCCAACACTACCTTCATAATCATAATCATCATCAGACTCATAAAAATCGCCATCATGATCATCACCGTCGTTAATCGTCACCGAATCCACGCATCGTCGCTCTACCAAAGCGCGCACCATTAGCATTACGCACTCTGTATCAGTTACGACTTTCTTTATCTGTTTTTGTTTTTGTTTCTTAAAACAATTAGAATTGAAATTCGGGCTGTTTGTTTTTGGAATTGAACAAAGAGAACTCTTATGGGAATGTAAGTTTCTAGGGTTTTTTTCTCCTTCAACAAACAGCAAAGATTTGCTGACAGACCATCTCAGCTTTGTTTGTTTCTTTAGTTGTTTCGGGAAGAGACCGTTGTGAGCGCGATTTAATTTTTGTTATTTTTGGAGATATGGGCGGGATTAGCTGTACGCGTTTATTTCCCTACTCGCTCTTTCTACACCCACACGTGGGTTCCTTTTTTGTTTATTATCCCGTGTTTTATACGCTGGTTTAATAAGTGGTTTTCTTTTTTTTTTTCTTTTCTACTTGGCTATGGTTTTATTTTACCGATAAATATTGTTGCCAAAACAAAATAATATATATTATGAAGATAAAAATAACAAATTGATGATTTAATTCAATTTTTTTTTTTTTAAATTTATCTATCTAAAATTTGAGGAATTCTTGAAAAGTATTACAGACTAACTTTTTTTATTAATTTAAAATAGTTTTAATGGATGAATAAAATCACAAAACATATTATTGTAGCATTGGTTTAATAACATTATCGGATTAGAACTACTTGGGTTGTGGCCGGATGGCAATACCTTACGTTACTTAGAGGTCTTGTGTTCGAGTCAGACCAAAACCCATTAGGCACCCCCGTTACCAAAAGTATAAAAAGAGTAGCTGCCAAGCTTTTTTATAAAGCTTCTACTTTTTTTAACTTGGACCTCGGGATTCACTTGGCTTGTGGTCATATGGCAAGACTCTGGGTTAGCCAGAGTTCTTGTGTTCTCATTGGGCTTGTTGTAGAGTATTCAACAGACCTTAAAGATTTGTTAAGGTACGCACAAATTAGTCTGAATATTTCAGTTACCAAAATTATGAAAAGAGTGGCTTCCTGCCCATCTTTTTACTTGGTCTATTGAGCTTGTAGGGTGTTTAATAGACCCTGAAAATTAGTTGAGGTACGCAAATGCTGGTCTGGACATCCCAATCACCATAAAAAAAAAAAAAAAAAAAAATTCAGATTAGTTTTTCCTCTTGTGATGGTTGTTCATAATCTAACAAAACAAACTAAAATTTTAATAAATATATGTCAAGGTTACAAAAAAAACCTAATAGCACCATTTCCGGCACGTATCTGTTGTCGTTGACCTTCCCCGACACCACCATCTTCCTCCCCTCAACCCCCTCTCCAAAACCCCTCACTTACCTGACCCGGGTAGCCCGCTGGTCGTCGTCCACCTCTCCTAACTAGTTTCGTTTTTTTTTCCAATTGGGTTTGTTGATGATTTTTGGTTTTGTGTTTTATGGTAATGGTGATCTCTTTGGTAATTGGTTGATTGGAGTTGTTCACTTGTTTGTATGGGATGATTTCTGGAGTTAATTGATTGTTTTTGTGTGTTTGGTTTCGGCTGTGGTGGACCGGTGGTGGTTTGGCCAGCTGGTTTTGGGAAAGAAAAAGGAGCCCAGCTGGTGGTTTGGAAATTGGAATGGGATGGTTTGGAATTTAGCCATTAAGGGTGTGAATCTACAATTTAGGAAACCGAGGTACCAACTGTGATCTAAATAAACCTTGAGTGGGTATATGTTGTTTACTTCATAATTTCCCAATTCCCATCCATCCTATCTTTTGTCGCCTATCTCTGTAAGCTTGAAACACATTGCCGGCTCAATTTTTCCGTTGAGACACCTTACTCTCTACAATCTTTAAATGTCAAATCACAATCTCCTCTCTCCCCCAAATCCAAATGACAGCCTCTTATATCAATTCATTTTTCCGGTTATCACTCATTTTACTGAAAAAATCCAGTGTTCTCATTTTTTACTATTACTCTCTTAACATTCTCAACTCATTTTACTCTTAAGTCTCAGCATTCTCATCTCTTGTCTCTCAGTTTTTTTATCTCTGTAAACGAAAATTTCTCAAGTGAATGTATGATTTACATTATTGTTTTTATGCAGGGTAATATTAAGGGCTCTAAATCATTTTACTTTTAGCATTCTCAACTCATTTCACTTTATATTTGACCTAGTGAATGTGTGATTTACATTATTATTTTTATGCAAGGTAACAATATAAGATTTTACAATTTCAGCTCAGCAGAAAGCAAAATCAAGAACATAAATCAAATGCTAAAGTTCCTTCTTAATTTTTATTTTACCAAAATAATATTAAGGGCTCTAAATTATTTATTCTTTGAATAGAAATGTCTACTGAGAAGTATGAATTTAGATTTGAAAAACGTAAGAAAAAAAAAGGAGAGAAAAACTAATTCAATCTCAAAAATGTGCATTTGATAGATTTGTTATTAATATGAAACACCAAATGCTATAAAAACCAAATTAAGATTTAAATGAAAAATCAATTGAAAGTTGTGAAGAAATTTTTAAAGATAACAATTCAAATTCATCAAATACTAGTGAAAAATATCATGAAAATTTAGAAGAAGATATTTCTTTCGACAAGAATGAAAATATTAATGATAAAAATGAAACAACTATTAAAAATATTTATGATCCGGCTGAATGGAATAATTTAGACAAAAGCTTTTGTGATTTATTAGTTAAGAAATGTCCAATTAGACAAGTTTTAGATTTTCCAAGAGATGAAAATTCTAGACGCTTTTCTACAATTCATTACATTCGAAAATTACCAAATGGAGAAAAACATGATAGAAAATGGTTAGTATATTCAAAAGAATTAGATAAAGTATTTTGTTTTCAATAATGCCACAGACATCGATACTTTGCACCGAAATGTTAAACCGAATGGCTTATTACCTGAGTCAGACGAGCCACGTAGCACATTAAGAAATATTTTGCGAATAAACAGCCGTCCATTTTAATTAGACGGGCGTTCATTTGAAATGGACTCCCATCCATACGAAAATGACAATGGACTCTCGTCTATATTATATGGTCGGGGAGTTCATTTACTATGGACAGGAGTCCACCTATAAGGACGCCCGTCCATAGCCATTTTTGCATGGACGCCTATCCATACGACCGTCCATTATGACCGTCTATTTTATATGGACAATCGTCCATACACAATGGACGAGGCGTCCATTTCTCTATCTTAATCTTTCCTTATTGCTTCACAATTTTTTACTTTGAAAGAAGTGTAGTTCGGAAATAATATGTTTAACTATAGTTCAACCCTTATCATCTACCATTTTTGAAAAGTTGTCAAGCATGTCAGGAAGATTATATTAGATTGAATTAATTAACAACATGCATGCACTTTTCTCATCCCGGGTCTGTAGCCCCTACGACCTTCACTAACTATTTTCCTCCTCTTGAATGGCCATTTTATCACTGGGGAAAGGTGTCTACAACAGATTTGTCTTTGGCACCGAAGTTGTACCATCAATGGGTGGTTTTGTGATTTTTAGAGATGAGTTATCCTTGCCATCTTTTTGTTCTTTTCAGTAGGAATACAAAAGAAAGGTAATATAGAAAATTCTTTTGGAACAACACTTTTGAAGGAATAATACGAAAATGGACGGGCATCCATTACTTTTGTTTTTTTTAATTTAAACAATGGACAGGCGTCCATCTAATAGGGACACCCATCCATTGAATATGGACGTTTGTCCATAATATATAGACGGATGTTATGATTTTCGTTTTAAATTTTTTTTAATTTTAAACAATGGACGTCTATTAATATTTTATGGATGACTGTTCATTCGCGAAATATTTGTTAATATACTACGTGACTGCGTCTACTCAACTGACACGTCATTCGGTGCAATATTTTGGTACAGGTCTTTGGTGTCCGTAGCATTATTGTTTTGTTTTTGTTGTAAATTATTTAGTTTAAAATCAAATGCAATTCAATTGGCAAATAAAGGGTGTGGAGATTGGAAAAATCTTAGTGTCAAGCTTAAAAGTCACGAAACAAGCAATGAACATGCCATAAATATAAACATTTGGGTTGATGTTGAGATGAAATTGCTTAAAAACAAAACAATTAATAAATGTTTACAATAGAAAATAAATAAAGAGAATGACCATTGGAAGAATGTACTATTAAGAATTATAGCGATTGTAAAAAATCTTTTAAAAAATAATTTGGCATTTTGTGGTACAAATGAGAAGATTTATCAAGAAAATAATGGAAATTTTTTGAATCTAATTGAAATGATTGTTGAGTTTGATCCTTAGACGTATTCAAAATGGAGAAATTCATACACATAATCTTGGTCATAATATACAAAATGAGTTAATAAATATTTTAGTCTTAGAAATAAGAAATACAGGGTGCGTTTGGTTTAGTATTTTGAATAGGATTTTAGGGATAGTATTGGGTTATTGGATATGGGAGTATTACGAGGTAAATTTTAAAAATTTATAAAAAAGCCCTTAGGTTTACTAATTTAACTAAAGACCCTAACATATAAAATGACAAAAACACCCCCACCACCTGCAGTGTCAGATTCCGGCCACCACCGCCGGAATCTGGCCGGAAAATTTTGTTACGGCACAGACTTGTCGGATCTGTGCCGTAACACGTCGTTATGGCCTTTTCCGGCCAGATCCATGGTGGATCTGGCTGGAAAAGGCCAGATCTACGGTCTGTTATGGCCGTCGACGGCCGAAAAAGGCCAAACGAGGGCCATCTTTGGCCGTCAGCGACGGCCAAAGATGTGGCCGTCGTTTTCGGTCAACGACGGCCAGATCCGTGGTGGATCTGGCTGGAAAAGGCCACAGCGGTGAACTTCCGGCCATTTCTGGTCGGAAGTTAGGCCGTTGTACAGATTCCGGCTATCACCGACGGTGGTTGCCGGAATCTGACAAGTTGGGTTGATGGGGGTGTTTTTGTTAATTTTTAAACTTTTTTTCAGGGGGTATTTAGTGAAATTAATAAACTTATGGGGTTAAAATGTAATTAAAAAAATAGGGTAATATTTTTAAAATATTGTACCAAACACTATTTGGAGAATAGGATCCAGAATAGGGATAAAAATATTAAACCAAACATGCACACAATTGTTAAAAAAAATAAAAGAATCAAAATATTTTTCATTATACTTGATTGTATCCCAAATACAAGTCATCAAGAACAAATGTCACTTATATTAAGATGTGTAGATATTTCAATGAGTCGAACAAAAATAGAAGAATATTTATAGATTTTATAAAAGTGGATGATACTTTTGGTCAAGGTCTTTTTAATATACTCACAAGTATACTAAAAAATCTTGAACTTGATGTAAATAATGTGAGAGGATAAGGATATGATAATGGGTCTAATATGAAAGGTAAACAACAAAGTGTGCAAAAAAAATTATTAAATATAAATTCTAGAGTATTTTATATAGCATATGGTTGTCATAGTCTTAATTTCGTTCTTTGTGATATGACTAATTCATGTGCTGATGCTATACATTTTTTGGAGTGACACAACGCATATACTCATTATTTTCTTTTTCTACAAAACGATGGAAAATTTTGCAAGATCATGTGTTAGAACTCAAGCCCAAGGGAAAGCGCAACCCAAAAGACCAACATGATAAGTGGGAGAGCCCCTAGGCTTAAGTACCACACTTGGTAGGTGTGACCGTGTGAGATCCCGATGTGGGATCTTAACATTGCACACCCTTCAAGAGCCGATGTCCACGACGACTTTCACTCTATCGACACTAACCCGACGTAGCCCTTTCCCCTTTTGGATGGCTTCACTCACCTATCAATTATTCGATGCAGCAACCCCTCTCAAGGAGAACACACTGCACCTTAATCTAGCCTAGAGGTAGCCCTTTCCATAGCCCAACTCTCAACGAAAAACACCAATGTTAGAACTCAAGCCCAAGGGAGAGCCCAACCCAAAAGATTAGTCTGATAGGTGGGAGAGCCCCTAGGCTTAAGTACCACAGTTGGTGGGTGTGAGATCCTGATGTGGGATCCTAACATCATGTTTCTAATTTGACACTTAAGCCATTATCACAAACATGTTGGGAAAGTCGTGTTGAAAGTGTTAAAGCAATAAAATTTCAAGCTCCACTAATAAGAGATGCTTTATATCAATTAGCAAAACCAGTGAAGATCCTAAAACAAAAAGTGAAGCTATTTCTTTAGTAACATATGAGATTGAAAATTTTGAATTTCTATTATGCATGATTATTTGATATGAAATGTTATTTGCTATTAATACAGTTAAGAAATATTTACAATCTAAAAATATGAACATTGTTGTTGCAACAAATCAGTTGAAAGATCTTGTTTCATTTTTTGAAAAATATAGAGAAACTGGGTTTACATTTTCTATGATTTCTGCTAAAGAGATTGCAAAGCAAATGAATATAGAACCAAAATTTCGTGAAAAACGTACAATAAAGAGAAAAAAATAATTTGATAAGAATGAAAATGAAGAGATGAAATTGTCTGCTGGAGAATCTTTTAGAATAAATTATTTCACATATTTAGTTGATCATGCCATTTCCTCACTTCAAAGTAGGTTTGAACAATTTGAAATATATAGTGATAATTTTGATTTCCTTTATAATATAGAAAATTAAAATTACTTGATGATGATAATTTGAAGAAAAATTGTTTAAATCTTGAAAACTTTTTAAAACATGACATGCTCTCTGATATTGATGATTTAGATTTATATTCAGAATTAAAAGTTTTAAAAGAAATTATAAACGTGGAAATAAACACCACTTGAGATACTAAATTTTATAAAAAAAATGTGAGTTTTTTTCCAAATGCATGGATAGCTTATAGAATACTATTAACTATTCATGTTACTGTAGCTTCAACAGAAAGAAGTTTTTAAAATTTAAAGTTAATAAAATCTTATTTGTGTTCAACCATATCTTAAGAAAGATTAGATAATTTGACTATATTATCAATTGAAAAAGATTTGGTTTCTAAACTTGAATATAAAAATTTAATTAATGATTTTGCATTTCAAAAGGTAAGAAAAATAAATTTGAAATATTTTTTTAATATTTGCTTATATTATTAAAGGGGCCCCAACGTAACTCTTGCTTAGAGTCATAAATGTTCTTGAGACGACCCTGTGGGGTATATAGCTAATATCACATGTAATTCATTAATGAGATATATAGCTAACAATAATACTTCACGTATAAAGAAATCTTACAAAAATTTATATACATAGTAATATGACAAGAAATGAATAGAAGAGTAAATACAAAAAGTCAAACTCATCATATTCACTATTTTTTTCATTTTTTGCCACATCACTCTGTATAGAAATATTTGTAAGATTTCTTTATACATATAATATTACTCGATAGCTAATATCAGATATAATTTGTTGTTCAACTATTACGATAACATGCATTAAGTTTAATTGACATAGCCATTCGTTTGTGTGTTATATTCAAGTTTTATATTATATTGCTTTGTGTTAAGTTTAAACCCAACTTCGCTAAACCAATTAGGCTTTATCCCTCACCTCCCCTGAGGTCTGGGTTTCAGTCTTTTAGACAACAACATCTCAAAGGTGTCAAATAGCATACCACCTCCCCTCACATTTGTTAATCGTCCACTGCCTCTTGTGGTAAATGTTAAGGAACATAAATAACAAGAAAAGTGACATTACATATTTGTCCCTCTATCAAAGTTTAAAAGATATAATTACATATTATGATTGGAAACTCAACGCCCTAGACAGTCAAAGTATCACCACTAAACATATCTAAGAGTGGCGTGTTTGATGGTGCTAGAAGTGCACCACCACTAAGTTATTGAACTTTTTGGCTTTTACTAGGCAGCGTGCGGGCTATTTTCGGAGACCATTTCTACTTTATATGACACCTATGGATTTCTCGTTGTGCAACTTCTCTATGTTTGATAGTTAGGGATTATAACGTGCTGTCATTTTTTGGTAAAAGTTTTATAAGTGATACATTAACCCTTTTTAGCTATTATTTTTATCGAATGATTGCATGGTATATGATTTTGCAACTTATGATGATCATGTTGGTTACAGTGATAATAGGGGCGATCGGTACGGCGTACCTTGTATTTTTTGAAGGAATCAGAACTAGAACCGGAATCGAAGTTGGACGGTTCCTAAGATTTGGAACTGGAACCGAAACCTGTTGGTTTCGATTCCTAGAAACCTGGAACCAGAATCGAAACTAGAGGTTCCGGTTCGAGGTACCTAAGAAATTTTAATTACCCCTTACTTTTTGGAAAATGACAAATACAATCCGGACAAATTACAAATACACCCCCAATAGTTTACAAAATTTACAATGTAGTCTCGGTTTCAATTTCAGCTCCGGATTCCAACACTATAGGAATTGGAATTGCATTTGAAAATCCCCGATTCCAATTTTCCAGAACTGGAACCTAACCCTAATGGGGCTGGTTCTGGTTCCTACTCAGAATCGGTTGGTAGATACCCGTCGGTTCCGGTTCTATTCTACCTTTTACCCATGCTCACCCACTTTGTATTACAGTGATGATACAAACAACATAGAGGCAGCGATGGAGACGATCCATGTGGTGACAATTTTGGAAGCATGAACCGGCTTTTTTTGGTTGGATGGCTAAGACATGGGATTTGATAACTTTAACCCTTTGCTAATTTGACCATTGATAAACAGTACCAGGGAGGTATTGGATAATTTTTAAATGTGAGAAGAGGTCAGGATGTCTTTGATACATTTGGGGTATCTTGGTAAAACCCAAACCTCAACAGAGCTGAGGATAACTAGCCAACCAATTATTAGAACTTTATAATATAGTTTTGTCGTCAAATAAAATGATATATACCCTTTTAAAAACCTTGCAGTTACAAATTCTTTATAATACATTTTATCACATGGGTGCAATCAAAAGTGATACATATGCATAATAAGAGCAACTTATTAATTAAATAAGGTTAAAATATAAAGTGAAAAGTTTTGGTAATGTAATTTGAAATTAAATAAGCTATGAAGAAAACAATCAAAAGATGAATTTGAAAAAGAAAAAAATAAGTTTTAAATTTAAAAATTGGAAAAAGGGGGATAAATAAATAAATAAAATCTAATTAAGATTTCAGGGAAAGGCAGCCTAAACAAAAACCCTAATTAAGTTTAAAATTGGGAAAAAATGGTGTAAATAAAAACTTTACCTAAACCTAATTAATCAGGGTTGTATTTTAGGCCCTAACATGTTGATATAAATTGAGCCTACAATTTTAGGGCCCAAGAAGGCCCAATACTAAAGTAGGTCCACATACTCGTCTCCCAGTACACCGCCATTTATCCTAAGAACAAAAATATAAAAACCAAAACCCCAAACCTCTCTTCTCTAATTTTCCACTTCACTCTATCAAGGGACTAAAACGGGGAGAGGAAAATCCCAGAACCCTAAGCATCATTGTCAAATCAAAACCCAAATTCAATCACAAGAACAAACACAACAATCCTATCAACACGTTGGTAGGGTTTTGTTTGGGGGTTTCTAGGGTTTATTTTCGTCTTCACATCAGATCTTAAAGACGGGGTAGTCTCAATTAACCGCCATGTATAACAACAACAACAACGGGGGGCCGATAGCTCCGCCGGGAACGAGCGGAGCTGTGCCAATACCTCCCCCATCTCAGCCGTCGTATACCGTGCTTACAACGACGCCCTCCCCTCAGGAGGCGGAGGCGAGGTTGGAGGAGAAAGCTAGAAAATGGATGCAACTTAACTCGAAGAGGTATGGAGACAAGAGGAAGTTTGGGTTCGTTGAGGCCCAGAAAGAGGACATGCCTCCCGAGCACGTGAGGAAGATTATTAGGTCAGTAGCTTTCTTCCTCGTCTTCATTTTTCTTTTAGTTGTAGTTTTTATTTGAGCTTGTTTGGTGAAATTTAGTATGCGTTTTTAGTTTATTATGATTTTGTTTAGTTTGAAGTTGGTTGTTTTGATTCTTTCTTTATTTATTTGGTTAATGTTATTTTTGATATTTTTTTATGTTCTTTGTCGGTTGAATGAAATCTGTAGCCATGGAAAATATTACATTTTACTGTAGAAAATTTAATTTCTCCCTATTTTTCTCTATATAATTTCCTTTTTAACATTTATTTTGGATTTTTTTTTTTTTTTTGGGTATATATAGCTAAAATGTGAGTATAAGTCGGTTACCTATGTGTGAAGTTCTTTGTACTGGTCTGTGTCCTGGATCTTATTAGTGCTCACAAATAGAAAATTTGAAAATTGATGTTGGAAAACTGATTGGAACGTTATTGAATTCTTTTGACCACTTGGAAACCTCTAAAGGCTAAGAGATTTGCTGCATGGTGATGTTTAAAAAGCTAAAGGGTTGCTTACTGGACTATAATTGCAAACTTTAATCTTATCTACTATATTCTTGGAACTGAATATTGGTTTAGATAAATTTGCAATTGTGTTATGATTAGTCTTATCTGAATTAGTTACGGGACTTCTTTCTGGTGTGCTTGCTCTGTTTTTGCTTCTGGGGTTGTATTGAATTGTCCGGTGTTTTCGTTGACAGAGACCATGGGGATATGTCCTCGAAGAAATATCGTCATGATAAACGTGTGTATCTAGGAGCCCTTAAATTCATCCCACATGCAGTTTACAAGCTCCTTGAGAATATGCCAATGCCATGGGAACAAGTTCGTGATGTGAAGGTTTTATATCATATTACTGGAGCCATCACCTTTGTGAATGAAATTCCATGGGTTGTTGAACCTATTTATCTGGCTCAGGTATTTTGATCCTCTATCTTTATCACATCTTCTTCTGTAGTTACTTTTGTGAGTTCATAGAAGGTATGAAGCAGATGGTGTGACATCGCTATCCTCTATATGCTGTAAACCAACTATTGTTCTTTGTCTTCATGTAGAATGATTAACCTTATGTTAATATTATTGTACAGTGGGGTACAATGTGGATCATGATGAGAAGAGAGAAGAGAGATCGTCGGCATTTCAAGAGAATGCGTTTTCCACCATTTGATGATGAGGAACCTCCATTAGACTATGCTGATAATCTGTTAGATGTTGATCCTCTGGAGCCAATTCAACTAGAGCTGGATGAAGAAGAAGATTCTGCTGTATATACTTGGTTTTATGACCATAAGCCTCTTGTGAAAACAAAGCTTATAAATGGTCCAAGTTACCGCAAATGGCACCTTTCTCTTCCAATCATGGCTACTCTTCACCGGCTTGCAGGGCAGCTACTTTCAGATTTAATCGACCGCAACTATTTCTACTTGTTTGACATGGAGTCATTCTTTACAGCCAAAGCATTGAATATGTGCATTCCTGGTATGTTTTGAGTATCACATTACTAGTCTTCTATTCTCCTAAATAGTGTGTGTCCAGTAATTAGGTATTCAGTTGTTTGGATATTTTTTAAATTAATTGTTCCATCTTGCAGGTGGCCCTAAATTTGAGCCTTTGTACCGTGACATGGAGAAAGGTGATGAGGACTGGAATGAATTCAATGATATCAACAAACTCATTATTCGGTCACCTCTGAGGACCGAGTATAGAATTGCCTTCCCTCATCTTTATAACAACAGGCCTCGTAAAGTGAGGCTTGGGGTATACCATACTCCCATGGTCATGTACATAAAAACTGAGGATCCTGATTTGCCTGCATTTTATTATGATCCTTTGATACACCCCATAACTTCCACTAACAAGGATCGGCGAGAAAAGAAGGTTCATGATGATGGTGATGATGAGGATGATGATTTCTATCTGCCAGAGCAGGTGGAGCCATTGCTGAAAGATACTCAACTTTACACTGATACTACAGCTGCTGGAGTTTCCCTATTATTTGCTCCACGTCCTTTCAACATGAGATCTGGTCGAATGCGACGAGCTGAGGATATACCTCTTGTGTCAGAGTGGTATAAGGAGCACTGGTAAGATTCTTTTTTTCTTTTCCTTTTTTCTTCTTTCCTTTTGATGTGAAGATGTAGTCTTAATATGTATTAGCTACCCAATCTGATTTCTTGTCGGTGTTATTCTTCTGCAGTCCTCCATCTTATCCAGTAAAAGTTCGAGTCAGCTATCAGAAATTGTTGAAATGTTTTGTGTTGAATGAGCTGCATCATCGACCGCCCAAGGCTCAGAAGAAGAAGCACTTGTTTCGGTCTCTCCAGGCAACAAAGTTCTTCCAAACCACAGAGCTTGATTGGGCTGAAGCAGGTCTTCAAGTTTGTAAGCAGGGGTACAACATGCTGAATCTGTTGATTCATAGAAAAAATTTGAATTACCTTCATCTTGATTACAACTTCAATTTGAAGCCTGTGAAAACTCTCACCACTAAAGAGCGTAAGAAGTCTAGGTTTGGAAATGCTTTTCATCTTTGCCGTGAAATTCTGCGTTTGACAAAGCTTGTAGTTGATGCCAATATCCAGTTCCGCCTGGGTAATGTTGATGCCTTCCAATTGGCTGATGGGTTGCAATATACTTTCTCCCATGTGGGTCAGTTGACTGGTATGTATCGTTACAAGTACAGGCTGATGCGCCAGATTAGGATGTGCAAGGACTTGAAGCACTTGATCTACTACCGCTTCAATACTGGCCCAGTGGGGAAGGGACCTGGATGTGGATTCTGGGCTCCAATGTGGAGGGTGTGGCTATTTTTCCTTCGTGGTATAGTGCCTCTCTTGGAAAGATGGTTAGGAAATTTACTGGCTCGACAATTTGAAGGTCGCCATTCAAAAGGAGTTGCAAAGACTGTCACCAAGCAACGTGTTGAAAGTCATTTTGACTTGGAGCTTCGAGCTGCTGTCATGCATGATGTTCTTGATGCCATGCCGGGTAAGAATCTTTTGACAATATAGATTTGCTATAATCAGTAGTTGTTGCTTGCTTTCTGGTTTCTGGAATTTATTTGAATCACTTTAACATGAAATATAAATTGCAGAGGGTATCAAGCAAAACAAGGCTAGAACTATTTTGCAGCATCTCAGTGAGGCATGGCGCTGTTGGAAAGCAAATATACCTTGGAAGGTAATATAATTTATAGATGATTACTCATTTGCCATGCTTTATAACGTGTGATAGTTGTCTAACTATATGCATCTCTAGGTACCTGGTTTGCCGGTTCCGATTGAGAATATGATCCTTCGGTATGTCAAGTCAAAAGCTGACTGGTGGACAAATGTTGCGCACTACAATCGTGAACGTATTAGACGGGGTGCAACAGTAGATAAGACTGTTTGTCGGAAGAATCTTGGAAGATTGACTCGCCTTTGGCTGAAGGCTGAACAGGTTTATATTCTTTTTTTGCTTATTTTCTCACTCTTCCTGTATTTTGAAAATGCATTGTTGGGCTGCATATTGTCTTTTGATATTTTCCTTGATGTTTTCTCTTATATTGTTTCAATTATCATCTTCCTGTCATAGGAACGACAACACAACTATTTGAAAGATGGTCCATATGTTACCCCAGAAGAAGCTGTTGCTATTTACACGACAACCGTGCATTGGTTGGAATCGAGAAAGTTTTCTCCCATTCCATTTCCACCATTGTCATACAAGCATGACACAAAGCTACTTATCCTTGCTCTGGAGAGGCTAAAAGAGTCGTACAGTGTGGCTGTCAGATTAAATCAGTTGCAGAGAGAAGAGCTTGGTCTCATTGAACAAGCATATGATAATCCTCATGAGGCTTTGTCAAGAATTAAGCGTCATCTGCTTACGCAGCGTGCCTTTAAAGAAGTGAGTTGAATTAAAATGAGTTTATCTTTGACTTTTGAACTCCATTCTGCCTTATATCTTGAATTGAAAAATTAATTTGATTTATCTATTATCTGTAGGTTGGCATTGAGTTCATGGACTTGTACAGCTATTTGATTCCAGTTTATGAAATTGAGCCGCTGGAGAAAATTACAGATGCTTATCTTGACCAGTATTTATGGTATGAAGGTGACAAGCGGCACCTCTTTCCAAACTGGATTAAGCCTGCAGATTCAGAGCCTCCACCACTTTTGGTTTATAAATGGTGTCAGGGTATAAACAATCTGCAAGGGATATGGGACACAAGTGATGGACAGTGTGTGGTGATGCTTCAAACTAAGTTTGAGAAGTTCTTTGAAAAGATTGACTTGACCATGCTAAACAGGTAAATATCATGTTAATCTTTTGCTTATTAATCAGTGAGGCTTCTTTTTTCTTAATGACATTTGTTTTGATGTTCTGCTGTAGGCTTCTGCGTTTGGTCCTTGACCACAATATTGCAGATTATGTCACTGCAAAGAATAATGTTGTCTTGTCCTATAAAGATATGAGCCATACAAATTCTTATGGCCTTATACGCGGTCTTCAGTTTGCTTCATTTGTTGTACAGTATTATGGACTTGTGCTGGACCTATTGCTTCTTGGTTTGACACGTGCTAGTGAGATTGCTGGACCCCCTCAGATGCCAAATGAGTTAATCACTTACTGGGACACAAAAGTTGAGACAAGGCATCCAATAAGGCTGTATTCTAGGTACATTGATAGGGTTCACATCTTGTTCCGCTTCACTCACGAAGAGGCTCGAGATCTTATCCAGCGTTATCTTACTGAGCATCCTGATCCCAACAATGAGAATATGGTTGGATACAACAACAAGAAGTGCTGGCCAAGGGATGCGAGAATGAGGCTTATGAAACATGATGGTAAAACTTAAAATCTCCATTGTAATTCTGATTTTTATGGATATATCAGCTTTTACGAGTTCCTCTAATACTTACATTTTTGTTATACTTTTCAGTCAATCTCGGCAGGAGTGTTTTCTGGGATATGAAGAACCGTCTTCCCAGAAGTATTACAACTTTGGAGTGGGAAAACAGCTTTGTTTCTGTTTACAGCAAGGACAATCCGAATCTGCTTTTCAGCATGTATGTATATTTTATTCTTACCACTATATCTGATGTGCTTTTGATGCATCTAAGTGCAATTGTGTCTTCTAACTGCATAGTTTTTATAGTTTCAGCATTTCCTGTTATATATGAGTGTTTAGTCTGAGGTAGCTTAGAATACCCAGTAAGTTTGAACAAGACAGTTCATGATATGTCTTGTATTTTACCTCTAGGTCTGGATTTGAAGTTCGAATACTTCCAAAAATAAGAATGACCCAAGAAGCATTCAGCAATACAAGGGATGGGGTCTGGAATTTGCAGAATGAACAGACCAAAGAGAGAACTGCAGTTGCTTTCTTGCGAGTTGATGATGAACACATGAAGGTATTTGAGAACCGTGTCAGGCAGATTCTTATGTCTTCAGGGTCAACAACATTCACCAAAATTGTCAACAAATGGAATACAGCCCTGATAGGTACATATTTTGGTTGTTAAAACTTGATTAAAAATTTACTTGTGTCTGACAGTAGGCATTGCTATCATTTTATTCTTATAATTTCTCTGTTCCTTCAACAGGTCTCATGACTTACTTCCGTGAAGCAACTGTACATACCCAAGAACTTTTAGATTTGCTGGTCAAATGTGAAAACAAAATCCAAACACGTATTAAGATTGGGTTGAACTCGAAAATGCCCAGCAGGCATGTATTTGGTTGGATATGCTTTGGATGTTTTTCAGTTTAGAATTTTTTTTTTTTTTGGCTAAATTTCCCCCACTTTTGCTGTGCTTATAGATTTCCTCCAGTCATTTTTTATACCCCAAAAGAAATTGGAGGACTTGGAATGTTATCCATGGGTCACATATTGATTCCTCAAAGTGACCTCCGATATAGTCAGCAGACAGATGTTGGTGTCACCCACTTTAGGAGTGGAATGAGCCATGAGGAGGACCAGCTGATTCCAAATCTTTATCGTTACATACAGGTAATGTAAATCAAATGAATCCATCTGTTATGAAATATTATGTGTTACGGTTTTCTGATGTTTTTTCAAATGGTGATGGTTGTGCTGGTTTTTCAACAGCCATGGGAGAGTGAGTTCATAGATTCGCAGCGTGTTTGGGCAGAGTATGCACTGAAGAGGCAGGAAGCTCAGGCTCAGAATAGGCGTTTAACCCTTGAGGATCTGGAAGTGAGTATTTTTCTTTTATTTGACAGAAGCTTTTATTTTTGGGATGGTTTCATTTGGAGGAAGGGTGGATTTTTATCCCCCACTGTCTGATATATTGAATTTCGACATTAGTCAAACTAAATTTATGCATGTTTTAATGAATTTTTCCAAATCCATTGACAGGATTCATGGGACAGGGGAATACCACGTATAAATACTTTGTTCCAGAAGGACAGACATACTTTAGCCTATGATAAAGGTTGGAGAGTGCGCACAGACTTTAAGCAGTATCAAGTATTGAAACAGAACCCTTTCTGGTGGACCCACCAAAGGCATGATGGTAAATTGTGGAACTTGAACAACTATCGAACTGATGTCATTCAAGCTCTTGGAGGTGTTGAGGGTATTCTTGAGCACACTTTGTTCAAAGGAACATAGTGAGTACCTTGTTTAATTTTAAGAATTAATTTATCGTCTTTCTATTTGTAGTGGTAATTACGGGATGCAAACGAATTTGATTTAAACTTCAGCTACTAATTTTACTCATTTTGAAATTTCAGCTTTCCAACTTGGGAAGGTCTCTTCTGGGAAAAGGCATCAGGTTTTGAGGAATCGATGAAATATAAGAAGCTTACTAATGCACAGAGATCTGGTCTAAACCAAATTCCTAACCGTCGATTCACGCTCTGGTGGTCTCCTACAATAAATAGGGCCAATGTCTATGTGGGTTTCCAAGTGCAGTTGGATTTAACTGGAATTTTCATGCATGGGAAGATTCCTACCTTGAAGATATCTCTGATTCAGATCTTCCGTGCTCATCTGTGGCAAAAGATTCATGAGAGTGTGGTGATGGATCTCTGTCAGGTCTTGGATCAGGAGTTGGATGCTTTGGAAATTGAAACTGTGCAGAAAGAAACAATCCATCCAAGGAAGAGTTACAAAATGAACAGCTCTTGTGCAGATATTCTCCTATTTGCTGCTCATCGATGGCCAATGTCAAAGCCTAGTCTTGTTGCCGAGTCAAAGGATATGTTTGACCAGAAAGCAAGCAATAAATACTGGATAGATGTACAACTCCGTTGGGGAGATTATGATTCTCATGACATTGAGCGGTATACTCGGGCCAAATTTATGGATTATACAACAGACAACATGTCTATCTATCCATCTCCAACTGGTATATTTTCGCATTTTTTCATTACTCATTTCCTGAGATGCTGTTCTGCGATGAATTAGTCTTGACATGGCTTGTTTCTGTGCAGGGGTGATGATTGGGCTTGATCTGGCATATAATTTGCATTCTGCATTTGGTAACTGGTTCCCTGGATCAAAACCATTGCTTGCTCAGGCAATGAATAAGATAATGAAGGTAATTGGTCAATTGAACTTGTGTCAACTTAATATCTTGGAGTCATCTCATACTTAAATTGAACTAATGGTTCATTATTTATCTGCAGTCAAATCCAGCTTTGTATGTCTTGAGAGAGCGTATAAGGAAAGGCTTGCAGTTGTATTCTTCTGAACCTACTGAACCATATTTATCATCGCAAAACTATGGAGAAATTTTCAGCAATCAGATAATATGGTTTGTGGATGACACAAATGTGTATCGTGTTACAATCCACAAAACATTTGAAGGAAATCTCACAACTAAACCCATCAATGGCGCAATCTTTATATTCAATCCAAGGACTGGACAGCTGTTCCTTAAGGTCTGCATCTTTTTAAGCATATTTTGAAACTAAACCTCTTCTGTTTGGATTCTGAATTCTGATCATTATATGATTTCCTGCAGGTCATCCACACAAGTGTATGGGCAGGTCAGAAGCGTCTTGGTCAGTTAGCCAAGTGGAAAACAGCAGAAGAAGTTGCTGCTCTTGTTCGGTCTCTGCCTGTTGAGGAACAACCAAAACAAATCATTGTTACTCGTAAAGGAATGTTGGATCCATTGGAGGTCCACTTGTTGGATTTCCCCAACATAGTTATCAAAGGAAGTGAGCTGCAGCTTCCTTTCCAGGCCTGCTTGAAGATTGAGAAATTTGGTGATCTAATTTTGAAGGCAACAGAACCTCAAATGGTTTTGTTCAATATCTATGATGACTGGCTGAAGAGTATCTCATCATACACTGCATTCTCCCGTCTCATTCTCATTCTTCGTGCACTTCATGTAAACAATGAGAAAGCAAAGATGCTACTAAAGCCTGACAAAACAATCGTCACAGAGCCTCATCACATCTGGCCTTCTTTGTCTGACGATCAATGGATGAAGGTAAGCAAGTTTTTACAATTTTGGATTTGTGTTCATGTATTTGTATTTCATTTAGCATGCGTTTGCATGTAATTGGTTTGCAGGGTTGAAAAGGTCATTTGTCAAACATGTATTTGCATGATTTATTTTTTCACATCATTATTTTTAGTACCACACCTGCTTCACACTGTATGATTTACCAATGGCTTTATTTTTTCACATCATTATTTTTAGTACCACACCTGCTTCACATTCTATGATTTACCAATGACTCCTTATGTTCAATGTAATGAGGGGTAAGTTATAACCATCATATTGCATAATTCAGGTTGAGGTTGCCCTAAGAGATCTCATACTCTCAGACTATGCCAAGAAGAACAATGTGAATACCTCAGCTCTGACACAGTCCGAGATCCGTGATATTATACTTGGAGCTGAGATTACTCCACCTTCCCAACAGAGGCAACAAATTGCTGAGATTGAGAAACAGGTGATGTTTTACTTGTCTTCAAATTTGGATGTGGCTTACTTTTTATTGTTTATTTGGTTTGGTTATTTTCTTTTTGATTTATTAATTTGGGTTATTTCTTTTTGTTGAATTTATGTATTCAGGCGAAGGAAGCAAGCCAGCTGACAGCAGTCACAACAAGGACTACAAATGTTCATGGGGATGAGCTCATTGTCACCACCACTAGTCCCTATGAGCAATCTGCATTTGGGTCCAAAACAGATTGGCGTGTAAGGGCAATATCGGCTACAAATCTCTATCTTCGAGTGAATCATATATATGTCAACTCAGAGGACATAAAGGTACATATCGACCTTCAATTTTGATTTTTTTTATTAGTGTGAGATCTTTCATATTTGCTGATACTGGATTATACTAATGATGCAGGAAACTGGATATACGTACATCATGCCAAAGAATATTTTGAAGAAGTTCATCTGCATAGCAGATCTACGAACTCAAATTGCTGGATACTTGTATGGTATAAGCCCACCAGATAATCCTCAGGTTAAGGAAATTCGTTGTATTGCCATGGTACCGCAATGGGGGACTCATCAGCAAGTTCATCTTCCTTCAGCTCTTCCTGAGCATGATTTCCTTACTGATCTTGAGCCTTTGGGATGGATGCACACACAACCAAATGAGCTTCCCCAGTTATCACCTCAAGATCTTACTAGTCATGCTCGGATTTTAGAAAACAACAAGCAGTGGGATGGAGAGAAGTGCATTATCTTGACCTGCAGTTTCACCCCAGGTTCCTGCTCATTAACTGCATATAAGCTTACCCCAAGCGGTTATGAGTGGGGACGAGTCAACAAGGACACAGGAAGCAATCCCCATGGTTATCTTCCAACTCATTACGAGAAAGTCCAGATGCTTTTAAGTGAACGGTTCCTTGGTTTCTACATGGTAAGAATAACCCAGAAATCTGTTTGAACTACGACAGTACACTTACCTAGTATAGTATTCCCCTGAAACTTAATTTTTTTTATGTGTAGTTGCTAACTTTTTTAATTTGGGTGTTGTTTTCAGGTTCCCGACAACGGTCCATGGAACTATAACTTCATGGGAGTGAAGCATACTGTGAGCATGAAATATGGCGTGAAGCTTGGCACACCCAGAGAATACTACAACGAAGATCACAGGCCAACTCATTTCTTGGAGTTCAGCAACTTGGAGGAGGGTGAAACCGCAGAGGGTGATCGCGAGGATACATTCTCTTAAATCTAATGGCGGCGCCATTGAGGTTATAGTTTAGTGTGAATTAATTGTAGTAGTACCTACTTGCAAACTTCAAATTTTAAAGTAGATTCTACTCGGCAACTTGGGCAATAAAGCAGTGCCCTTTTTTGGTTATAGAACATATTTTATATTGTTGTTGTTGTTTTAACCGGATGAGAGATGTAAGCCCATTTAACATTTTGATGTCTTGTAAATATATGGTAAAGAAATTCATAAATTGAAGTTATTGTCTATGTGAGGTACCAGTATTTGCTTAATCAAATGGTTTTAAATTCAATCGGCCATTCTTGGTAATAATCAGCTTCGATTGGATTGATTGAGGTATTGAGGTATTTAGCCATAGGCAGTACATGAACAAGATTATGCTTTACATCCCAGTTGTCATTACAAAAGATCTTTGCACCTTATTTTAATTGAGTGATGCTATGACAACCATAAATTATGTATAGCCCTCGGTTAAAAAATAATTTCACGTTGTAAACATACCCTTAAATAAGATGACTAGAAAGGGTTAAAAGACAAACAGAATACGGACAAATGTTTTCTTATCAAATCTTTTCATAAATATATTGAATGGAAAAGACCTTAAAATTTTAATTGCATTTTGAATAATAGTTTTTTATCTAATTTGTTTGTTTGTTATAAGTTGTAAAGGAAAAAAAATATAAAGAAGTGAGGAAATGCTTTTACTTTTGGAGTTGAAAAGAGAATAAGAGATAAATTTGCATTTATTGAAAATAAAAGGTAATGTTAAGTGGCCGAGTAGTTCAATGGAGATTCTTGATGTATTACTGAAGAGGTTTTGTATTTGAGTCTCTTCTCAATTGTTCATAACGGCTTGTAGTTTTTGGGTCTTAAGAGATTAATTAAAGTATGCGTAAACTAACTCGGATACCTCTAATCATCCAAAAAAAGAAAAGGTAATATTGAAATGAATAGTACATTTAAGGTCTGTTTGGTATGGCTTCTTTTGAAAAGAGCTTATGGAAGAACTTATTAGAGTATAGTTTTTGTAAAAGTTTTTGATACTTGTTTAGGTTGGAAAATGTAAAGAACTCTCTAATATTAATTTACCAAAAATGTTTTTAATATACAAGAATAGATCAAATCAAATTTATAAAATTGAATAAAAATATTTTTGAAATTTTAACAATTTAAATAACCTCAAAAAGAGTTTATGGGAAAAACTCAAAATTTGAACTTTTTCTCATAAATCGTAAACTAGCTTATTTTAAATCCTATAAATACTTTTGAAATCTAACTAGATACCCTAAAAAAAAAAATTTAAAAATATTAAAAGGTTCTTAAACAAATTTGAATATGACTATTCATAAAAGTTTTCACTCGAGGCCAAAACAAAATGATCCCATTTAAACATTGCAATCCAATTCACCTAAACATTTTCCCACATCAACACACCATTAAGAAGCCTGCTTTTTCCTATGACTACACACCACCCCAATAAACACGAGAAAGAGTTTTGTGTCATTAATTTACATTAAATGGTACTACACACAAACCAACCTTTACTTTCACACCACTCCTGCAAACATGCTTCCTGCACTTGCTATTAAATGCCACAGCCACCTCCACCTTTGCCCTTCAGTACCTAAAAAAAAAAAAACCAAAAAGCCTGGCAAGCCAAGATTCTATTTCACATTTTTGTGTCATTTACTTCTCAGTTATTTTGAGCCTTTTCGGGTTCAATCTCCTCCTCCACTTCCTGTTTAGCCTCCTCCTCTTCTGAGATTAAGTCTGAGCTATCTTCAGGAACTGCTGTCCCGTCTTTATAATCTGCAGACTGAGGGCTGTTGAACAGTTCATCATTTTCTAATTCAGCTAACTTCTCTTTTGATTGTCCTTTTAGTAACTCCAATACCTCAAGCATGGTGGGTCTTTTCTCGGGCTGACTATGAGCACATATAAGCGAAACAAGTACGACTCTTTTCAACTCTTCCTCTACAAACTTCCCATTCAACCTTGGATCTGCCAGCTCGTTGAACTTCTTCTGGCAAGCCAGTGGCAACGCCCACTCTGTAATAGTGCGTTTCAAGGCGGAACTTAGTTTTTCAAGGGGTTTCTTGCCGCTGGTCAGTTCGAGCAAGAGAATGCCAAAGCTGTATACATCACAACTCTCTGATGCTTTTCCTAGCATAGCATATTCGGGGGCAAGGTAGCCAAGGGTACCCTTAACTCTTGTAGTCACGTGCGTTGCACCATCTGGGATAAGCTTAGCAAAACCAAAATCAGCAACCTGAGCCTGAAAATCAGCATCTAACAACACATTGCTAGCTTTGATGTCTCTATGGATTATATGCGGGGTAGCATGGTGGTGAAGATAGCTGTATCAATCAAAATTGAGAGGTTAGTGTATGTGGTAATCAAATTAAAGAGACAGAAGCTGGGTTAATACTTACGCAATTCCCTCGGCAGATCCTATTGCAATATTCATCCTTCTGTTCCAATCGAGAAGGCATTCTGATGAGTGCTGTCCATGAAGATGAGAGAGCAAGCTCAAATTGGGCATATAGTCATATACAATCAGGCGCTCTTGTCCTTCGGCACAATAGCCACGCAAACTCAGCAGATTCTTGTGCCGAACTCGAGCCAGTATCTCAACCTCAACAGCGAATTCCAGATCTGCTTTGTTGCTCCAGACTTTTAATCTCTTAACTGCAATCTGCAGATAAGTGTACATAATATTAATATCGTTATTTGTATACTCGCAATTTCTTTCAAAAGTTATATTTTGGATGATAACATAAAGTCATATCTAATTACAAAGAATATAGCAGTTTATCTGATACAGTATAACACTAGTATAACTCGCACATGCACACAGAGTATTACAGAATTCTGCATTATAGGGTGCATTTGAATTTTTCTTGTTAGCATGTTCAGCCTCAGCCCAAAGGCTACTGAGGTTCCCAAAAGGGACATAAAAAATCTATTCTTAAACAACATAAAGTTCATTTTTCTATCAGCTTTAAGGACCACCAATGTAGGCATCATGTTGATTGCATTAACATTCTCCTAAAGAAATTTACTGCAGGTGCAGCTGAATTCTGCTTACTTGTTAGCATGCTCAGCTTCATCAGCCTACAGCTCGAGAAGGCACCAATTTTTGGTTACAAAAAGCTACATGTTAATCAAAGTCCCTTTCTGGCCCAGAATTTGGAAGTAAGTTGGTTTCAGTTCAATCTATTTACTAAAGCCTAGCGAAGAAATTAGAAGATAGTGTTATCAAATTTAGACTCAAACTAAGGTGAAGTAATTCAAGGGTACAGGGCATTTATGAAATGTTGGAATACAAATGGTTTCTAGACCAAACCTAGATATTGCCGCCATGCCTAAATGGCACTTTCTGATATTTTATTAGAATGAGGATATCCCAGCACTGTCCATTAAATCTTTCGTATCTCTATATAACAACTCAATTCCATATCCTCCCTGATAATCAATGACCAGTACAACTCACTTGAGAAAAAAAAAATCCAGTATCAACACAAACATTGTTATTATATGATTTCTTTTGGAAAATCATATCTTAATCAAGTTCCAAGCCCGTACATGCATACATCATCTTATTTGAAATGGCACGTAAATGGTGTTCTGTTATCACAACTTAAAACACACACAAACACAGTGAGAGAGAGAGACTGGTTGAACAGTTGTGACCTCAGGTTTAAGTCTCAGATAATGATAAGAAAATTGTTCATACAGCAGACTGAAAACAACTCCAATATTCAAAGGTTTGCAATGAAAATACTGAGAAGCAATATAAAATAAGGGCAATGAAATTACAAATGCAAGCACCAATAACAAAGCAGACTTTGGAGGCAATAAGGAAAAGGGTTAACTAGTGCAGGTCCCATCAAACTAGGGTATTGTTCAATCTCAAGATACAGGCCAGCTCTCTTGCCCCTTAGCACATGACTTTTACTAGCTAAAGTCAAGAAGTTTGAATTTCAATGGAACACATGTAACTAGCAATAGTAGGCCCTTAACAAAGGAATCCAATTCAAACTTTTAGACGCATGCAGTTCATACAACGACAATATTACATGATCTCATGGAAACATGTTGAATCAAAAAAGGCAACATTCATCTCTGTGGCTGTGTCAACATTATTCCTTCATGATGAAGCTAAAGTAGACATTCTTGACGTTTGTGATAAGGTGATCAGTCTTTAATTTCCAGCTCCATCTTCTTCTTATATCATATACTGTATATCATCGTCTAGGTAAGGTTTTGCATGTTATTCTAGAAGAGAACTAAGTTTTTGCCTCATTAACAGAACTTCATTTATCTTTTAAATATGAAAATAGTTAAGAGGCAAAGATTCACGTTGATTGAAGCTACTTCCGAATATCAAATTTCATATAAAGTATTTTCTAAACTTAGACAATTTCAAGAAAACAATAGTATACACGCTCTAACAAGCAGCATTAATCCTTATAAAATTTCACTTAAATCAACAGTCCAACTACCAAATGTACTTTCCTGGTAAGGTCGATTCCACACAATCAAGTAACCAGTAATGGATAAATCAATAAGAAAAATCCTGCATAACATAAATTAAAATACTTGAACTGCAATAATATGTTCCCCAGAAACAATGGAAATGTATTCATTACTTGTATCCATCCCAAAGCTGACCCCAGTACCACTTCCAAATCCTCCTTCTCCGGCTTGTTATCGTAATTAAATTGTTCGTGGCAGAATGTAATTCCTTCAGTGAAAAAATCCTCCAGGTCGGCTCTTTCTTACTCCTGTCGCCCTATAAATACCAATCTCCATTAACCAAACCACCAATTCATAATCAAACACCATAAAACATATAAAGATTACCCTCTATCAACAGCTTAAACTAAGTATTGATTACCAAACTAAATCAGCAAGCTCAGTTAATACACATAATTCCATTTTCAAATTCCTGTTTCCACTTACCCACCTAACAAATCTAAAAACACAACTCTATTCAACCCATTAATCATTTCCAAATCTAAACTAAACCCTAAACACAAAACCATCCAAATCAATCAAAAAAAAAAAAAAAAAAAAAAAAAACATTACGCTCTGAAGGCTTGATACAACAAAAGATAGAGCGAAACGTCATTTGAGCTTCCACCAATAGAAACCCACTTCCCTCTCGTTGATTCTTTCGCATTTCTGTCGGTTTGATTTCCCTTTTTTCTTGGTATCAGTTGATGCCAGTTATTACGTGGGGGCGGGGTGAAAAGATACAAAGAGTAACGCGCACACATTCCTTAATTTAACTTTTAAATGTTTTAAATATTCCGTAAATGGAAGAGAGGGTGGGTTTAGTTTTGTTGAAGAGGATAAGACTCGAGTGTTGCGCTTGGTACAGAGAGATGTTTGCTAAAATGTTTGATTGAATTGAATTCCAGTAAAAATTAAAAAAAAATTGGGACAACGTGTGTAAGAGAAGGAAGCTAAGGTCTTTTCTTACTTCAACAGGTTCCTGTCTTGAAGCTTGTTTCCTTTTTTCAGTTTTTTTCAAATTGCTAGTGGGACCCTGTTACTTGATTAAAAAAAAAATTATTTTATTTATTTTTATTTTTAAGTTTTAAATTTTTTATAGTATAATATTGCTCAGTTTGTCACCATCTTCTGTACACCACTATGTTACTGTTCCTGCAAGTTTAACTTTTTTTCTTTTTTATTATTATTTTAAGATGATGTAATAAATAGTATTCTTCTCATAAAGGAAGACGGTTTGGAATTTTTTTAATCCATTCCGTTTCGAAAGTATTTTCAATACGTCTTTATTAAGGAATTGTTAATTTTATAAGAAATATTCAATATCTGTTCCGTTTCGGAAGTATTTAATAAGTTTTATTAAGGAATTTTTAATTTGATAATGTTATTAAACTATGATAAAATTATTTAATAATTGATAAAATTCAAGGATTTTATATGGAAATTAAACGTGGTAATTAGTAGATGAAATCGTTATCATTTAGTGGGTAATGGGCAACCGTTGTTATGAATTTGATTAATGTATTATTGTGATATTTTATTTTAGTGTATTATTGAAAGAGTAAACGACTTTTTCCCACCCAAGGTTTGCTTTAATGACACTTTCCCACCCAAAGTTAATATTCTGTTACTACTCAAAGTCGATTTTGACTGCAGAAATTATCTATGTACGCTACCATTTGAACCTTTGGTCTCCTCTCTATAAAATCTCTCTTAATCTTACACATGAGTTCTTACCAATTATTAATCACCATAAAGTTAAAATTTCTTGTTCTTAACTGATTTTCGGCTGATTCCGACAACAAATATTTAATCAGTCACCACCATTTGATCCACAGATATCCATTCTACAAAATCCTTTTTACTCTAACTCTTGATAACTCGTCGAATACCGACTGAGAAAGTACAGTGTATTTTGGGTATTAACGAAATATAGACTTTGTAAGTGATATTTTGAAACTTTTTGGGTGGGAAAATGTCATAAAGGCAAACCTTGGGTGTGAAAAAGTCGTTTTACTCTTACTGAAATGTGACAAATGTTCCAAAATTCAATCTTGTCTTGGACCATTTTACAAACCCATTCTTATCTCTTTACAGCATCTAATATCTATCAACATCATGATCACGTCATAAAAATTGGGCATTTTTCTTTTTATTTAATGAATAGGGGTGATGATAGTCTTGTGAAATGACTTAATTGACCTAACTATTTCCATTAAAAAATAAAAACCAAATTCATTTGATTGATGCCTACCAATTTAATATAGATACCTATTTATTTCACAATCCATAAAAATTGGAAACTTTCATTTATAAATGTCTCAATTATAGTATATGGTTCCGAAAGAGATAATACAAAAAATATTATCAAATTTTAAACAAATAAATGAAAGAAAAGACGGTAAAAAATCAGTGAAATTGCTGGATTAATCTTAATATTTTGATTTTTTATATATACATTGAAACTATAATAAAATTAACAGAAATTAAATAGATATAGAGGGAATTGATCAATTGCAATTAAAAAACTTAGTATGATGGAGGCATTTAACCGCCCAAACAAGTGGGGAAGATTTCTTTGTTACCAAATAATAAAACATAGTTTAAAAAAAAAAAGTGTTACATTAAAAAACTTAGTATTGATGGTAGGTGGTAAGTTCAACTCAATTGATGTGTCAACTATCAATAAGTCATAACAACAATTCAATAACAAAATTAAATTTGTCTAGTAGAATTAAAAACCAAATAAAATAAATAATTTGACATGCTAATCAATAATTAATTGCTTGGTTAAGAAAAAAAAATATTGGGTTTAAGTTATTTTCTTTTTAAAAAAATTAAAGAAATAATTAAAAAAATTGTTTAAAAAAAAAAAAAAAAAAAACACCCTCACATGTATCCAATTCTACCTTTGGTTTATAAAAGATTCGTTTCTCGTGACAATAAAATAATCCAAACATATAATATTGATAAGATCTAACATATTACATAAATTTTCATGTGGCCAAGCTTGAAAATTTTTAAATTCAAATAAAATTTTTATAATTTTTAATGCAAAAAATCATCTGTGTTTATCGAGAACCATTTTTTTAACACAAAATCTGACACAATTTATAAGTGGTTGGATCTACCGGTGAAAACCGAGCTAAATTGCACGCAAGTTGAATTCGATTATTATTACAAAAAGCTCGACTAACCGAGCTTGAACTCGAACTCAATACTACAACAACCAAGTCGAGTTTGAGTACCCAGATACTCAACTCGATTTCATCCCTATTTGGATCAATCATTTGAGTTGTTGAGATTCGATACAAATTCTATAATTTCATCCCTATTTGGATCAATCATTTGAGTTGTTGAGATTCGATACAAATTCTATAATTAATATATACTGTAAATTTTTTAATTTAGATGTAATCTCAACCATTGAAATACATTAATCTAACGGTTCATAAATTGTGTCAAATTTATGTAAAAAAAGTGGAGTTTCCGACCCTTCTCCAAAAATATAATAAAAGAATTAAAAAAAAAAAGGGGGAGAAGTTAGGAATTTTGCGGGTTTTCTTAAAGGTTTAATACGAAGAAGAGGAAAGGAAGTACAAGGTAATGTTACGGGTGTAGTACCATAGGAGCAGTGAAGAGAAGAAAACGAATAAAACGCTTGTTTGGATATGGGAATAAGTAAGGCTGCGGCTTTTGAAGATAGCCAAAATGTGTGCACGTGAATCCAGCCAATTAGGGCGAGGATAGGATAGGAATTTGTCCAATTCACACTTAACATAAATGAATGATTTTTAAATTAACACTAAATCTACTGTATCTTTATGTTTTATCAATCTTAACAACAAAAATATTGGAGTTTTTAAAAGAATAAACGAATTTTTCCCACCCAAGGTTTGCTTTAATGACACTTTTTCACCCAAACAGTTTCAAAATAACACTTCCCACCCAAAGTTTATATTCCACGTTAATACTCAAAATATACTTCACTTTCTCAGCCGACGTTCTACGAATTACCAGGAGTTAGTGTAAAAGGGATTTTATAAAGTGGAGGCTGGTGGATCGAATGGTGATAACATATAGAATATTCACCGTAAAAAATTAGTTAAGAACATGAAACCCTAGTTTTGCGATGACCGACGATTAGCAAGAAATTAGGTGTCGGAGTGAAAGAGGTTTTATAGAGAAGAGACACGAAGTTCAAATGGTGATGATAGAGATAATTTTCTCTGCTGGAATTGATTTTGGGTAGTAACGGATAACTTTGGGTGGGAAATTGTCTTTAAAATTATATATATAACCCGGGGTGTCCGGCCTAGCTTACGTGTACCTCAACTAATCTTCGAAGCTCATTCAAACTCAATGTTCTAGGTAAGTCACAAATGTGATATATGGTCTTAAGGTGGTTTAAATCCAAGAAGTCAATGAAAAAAGCAAACATTCTTGACCACTAAACTAATCCCTTAGAGTTTTAAAATTATATTTGATCAACGCATAAAGGATACCATATATTATGTTTATATAGTCCCACTTATCATAATATTAATCTTGCACCGAGTGTTAATTGAGTTGATAATTATTATAATTTGTACATATTCTTTAGATTAACCAAATAAGACATATCCTAGAAGAAGAATAAAAAAAACAAATGTTACACAATCATTCCAATCATAGTAAAGCTGCAAGTACTTAATGACCAAATCAAAAACTAATTAACAATAATAATTGCAATTAATTAGGAAGATTGTGTTAATGCATGAAGTTGTTGCCTTTTTGGCCGATTTGCAGAGCTGGTAGTAGACCTCCCACTAATGATTGGTGTCAGGAGAAGACAAAAACTGCAAATGGGTCTCTTCTTCTTCTTCTTCTTGATTTTGTAATGTAGCATTTGCAATCATGGCTCTCAAAGATTCACCTATTTTATTTTATTAAGGCAGCTGTTTCAATCATTTGGTTGGTCCATTTTGTAATTGGGTATTTACTTGTTTAATTGTGTGTGATTAAATTAAGCTTCATTAACCAATTTGTATGAAGAACAAACTAAGAATTATGAAAGGGAATTATGTGTTTCTATCCACCATTGGGTAGTTTGATGGTGAAAGAGTAAAAAAGGTTTTATAAGTTCTTGAGTTCGAGTCATTTCAAACACTAATAAAGATGGTCATTGGGGCTCTTATCTGGCCAATAGATTCACAGTCTTGGGAGATTAGTTAAGGTACGCGCAAGCTGACCCAGACACCCCGATGATAAAAAAAGAAAAAAAAGTACGTATTTCCCTCTTTACTTTCTAATACTCACAACTTTTGTATTAAAAGATTTGTAAAACATAATCTCATATCTGTAATTCAAAATGATTCATAGAAAATAGATTTTTATTTATAACTTTCTTTAATTCGAAAAGAGTTATATAAATTAAGTTGATTTTACTTATCACCGTTGAAAAAATATGTTAGTTTTGTAATGAAGACTACCTAATTGATTTTTATTTTTATTTTTAGAAAAAATATTGTGAGTGTTTTTGAAATTTCGAGCATAAATTCATATTATTTTTCGATGTTATACTTCTACAGGGCAGTAACAGGATTTTGAGATTGAGACAAAACCAGCCCATGCCCATAAAAGTAAGGCAAAATTTGAGGCCCAAAGAATCTTAAGCATAAAATTGCTATAAATTAACAACCCAACTTATTTATGAGACATTGGAAAAGATTGAGTTACAATTTTGTTTACAATAAAAATAAAATAAACACAATAACTGTTGTTAGTTGATGCAATCCAGCAGTGACTGAAGCTTTATGAATTGCACCACTTGATCTATTCATTGTTCTTGATCCTGCCTCATCTTCATCAAGTGCAGAAAGATGTTGCACCGACTTCCCTGGAACGGGTCGACCTGTTTCACATAACCCGATGTCCGAATTGATGGACGAATCCAAACCATCTTCAAAACCATTCTTTGCCTTGTAGCAAAGTCCTGAATTATTGTAAAGCCTAAGCTTTCTTTTCATCCTCCAAACCAATTCTCTCTCAAATGGAAGTGGCCCTGTTAATTGATTATCGTTTAGTCGCAATTCGCTGAGGTGCTTTAAGTCTTTGAAATTTGAAGGAACGGAACCATTGAAGTGGTTTTGATCAAGATGAAGAACACGAAGATTTGGTAAACGACCTAGTGACTCAGGGATTTGACCATACAAATTCATGTTGGATAGAATAAGTATCATTAAACCCTTCATACCTTCAAAACTATCATCACGGATTGTTATCGAACCCATTTGATTGTCTTTGAGAATTAGAGTTTGAAGGGAATTTAATTTCTTAAGCGATATTGAAAATGGATTAGAAAGACGATTATAACTTAAATCTATAAGAATAAGTTCTTTTAGACCATCAAAGGAATCGGGTATTGAACCAGTGAGACGATTATGGCTAAAATCTATCTTAATTAGAGAATGACAAGTACCAAGACCAGATGGGATAGAGCCATTGAGTAGATTTTGGCTCAAGTCCATAACATTCAAAACTGGGAAGCTTAAACCGGGTATTGAACCGGTTAATCTGTTCCCGCTCAAATCTAACGACCTTAAACCGGTGATCCTACCCAATGAAAAGGGTATTGAACCGTTGAGATTATTTTTGTGGAGATCAAGAACTCTTAAACGGTTAAGATTGCCTAGTTCACTAGGGATTGGACCCACATGCCCATTTTCCCTTAGCACCAAAGTTTGTAATGTTGGGCCCAACCGGCCCAAAAAGGCTGGGATTGGCTGAGGATTATGGCTGAAACAACGGTAAAAGAACAAATTTCTAATATAAGGAAGCTTGGTGATAGACTCTGAAATATAAGACCGGGTCGGATCACATGTTGGAAAGGCCGTATCATCGGACAAAGCTCCGAACATCAAGGACACTACATGGTACACATTATCTTTATCAGGCATGCACTCGATTCCGTGCCACCGGCCACGGCAAACGTCAGGAATCTCGGTGGCCCAATCATTTCCCGTCGCGCGCATAATGTCATAGACTGCCTCTTGCTCGCGGGCGTCGGTACGGGCCATGTTTTTGTTCATCGAAAACCCAGATTGAGGCCCGTCAACAAGGGCCGGTGGCGGCGTGCCGGAATCGGAAATGACAGTGAAAGGCGTAGCAAATGGTAAAACACAGAGGAAGAGGGTTAAAAGGCTTTGTACTGAGAAAAAGTGTGCCATTGCTTGAGAGTGAGCACGAGTAAATTGGGGTCATGGGGTTAGGGTTTATAGAGGGGTGAGGGTGGAGTTAATGAGATGGGTCAGGATGATAAATGAAATAAAAGTGAAACAAATTTATTAGATCACGAGAATGGGAGGAGTTGAAATGAATGCATTAATGGAATTTGAGCATTCATGCGTTTCACGAGAATGGTGCCCATGTCGGGCTTTGGGTCCTGACTGTGGGCTACACCGATGGAATCGGGTTTAACGGTTGAATTTACAATCAGAACAAACGGTCATTTGTAGGCTTATAATTGCTTTCAAGGACGTTGTCATAACTTTCTTTTAATTCTCCTAGTTAGGAAATCTTAGGACTTCAAATAATAAGAAGGGAAGAGGAAACAAAATCAATGAAGGAAAATAATAACGAAAAATAATCACATTTATAGCCATAATTATTAAATCAAATTTAAATGGTTTCTGTAATTTGAAGGCCTAATCAAACGCTTGAACGGACAACACTATTCAACCCATAATCATTTCAAAATCTAAACTAAACCCATAACACAAAACCATCCAAATCAATCACAAAAAAAAAAAAAAAAAAAAAAAAAAAAAAAACATTACCGATCTGAGGCTTGATACAACAAAAGATAGAGCGAAACGTCATTTGAGCTTCCACCAAATAAAACCCACTTCCCTCTCGTTGATTCTTCGCAGTTCTCGGTCGGTTTGATTTCCCCTTTCTTGGTATCAGTTGATGCCAGTATTAAGCGGGTGGAGAAAAGATACAAAGAGTAACGCGACACATTCCTTAATTTAACTTTTCGTAAAATGGAAGAGAGGGGTGGTTTAGTTTTGTTGAAGAGGATAAGACTCGAGTGTTGCGCTTGGACAGAGAGATGTTTGCTAAAATGTTTGATTGAATTGAATTCCAGTAAAAATTAAAAAAATTGGGACAAAGTGTGAAGAGAAGGAAGCTAAGTCTTTTCTTACTTCAACGTCCGTGTCCTGTCTTGAAGTTGTTCTTTTTCTGTTTTTTCAAATTGCTAGTGGACCCGTTACTTGATTAAAAAAAAATTATTTTTTTTTATTTTTTAAGTTTTAAATTTTTTATAGTATAATATTGCCTCGTTGTCACCATCTTCTGTACACCACTATGTTACTGTTCTGCAATTTAACTTTTTTTTTTTCTTTTTATTATTATTTTAAGATGATGTAATAAATAGTATTCTCATAAAGGAAGACGGTTTGGAATTTTTTTAATCCATTCCGTTTCGAAAGTATTTCAAACGTCTTTATTAAGGAATGTAATTTTATAAGATATTCAAATCTGTTCCGTTTCAGAGTATTTAATAAGTTTTAAAGAATTTTTAATTTGATAATGTTATAAACTATGATAAAATTATTAATATAGATAAAATTCAAGGATTTTATATGGAAATTAAAGTGGTAATTAGATGAAATGTTCATTTAGTGGGGTGGCACATGTTATGAATTTGATTAATGTATTATTGTGATATTTTATTAGTGTATTATTGAAAGAGTAAACGACTTTTTTCCACCCAGGTTGCCTTAATGACCTTTTCCACCCAAAGTTAATATTCCGTTACTACCCAAAGTGATTCTAACTACGAAAAATCTTTCTGTACGCCACCATTTGAACCTGTCTCCTCTCTAAAAACCCCTCTCAATCTAACACTGATTTCTTGCAATTGTTGATTACCACAAAGTAAGTTTTTTTTTAGTGATTTCGACTGATTCCGATGAACAAATATTAATAGTCTACCATTCGATCACATGCTTCATTCTACAAAATCTCTTTTACCCTTTCCTGTAACTCGCGAATCCGATGAGAAAGTACAATGTATTTGGGTATTAACGAATATAAACTTTGAAGTAATATTTTGAAACTTTTTGGTGGGAAAAGTCGTTTTACTCTTATTGAAATGTGACAATGTTCCAAAATTCAATCTACACAAACCCATTCTTATCTCTTTATAGCATCTATCAAACATCATGATGTCTCATAAAAATTGGCATTTTTCTTTTATTTAATGAATAGGGGTGATGATAGTCTTTGAAAAGACTTAATGACCTAACTTTCCATTAAAAAATAAAAAACAAATTCATTGTATTGACTACCCATTAATATAGATAATATTATTTCACAATCCATAAAAATTGGAACTTTCATTTATAAATGTCTCAATTATAGTATATGTTCCGAAAGAGATAATACAAAAATATTTTCAAATTTTAAACAAATAAATGAAAGAAAAGACGGTAAAAAATCAGTGAAATTGTGGATTAATCTTATATTTTGATTTTTTTATATACATTGAAACTATAATAAAATTAACAGAATTAAATAAAAAAATAGAGGGAATTGACAATGCAATTAAAAAACTAGTATGATGGAGGCATTTAACCGCCCAAACAAGGAAACTGTTTAAAAATAAAACTATTAAAAAAAAAAGTGTTACATTAAAAATTAGTATTGATGGTAGGTGGTAAGTCAATCAATTGATGTGTCAACTATCAAAAAGTCATAACAACAATTCATAACAAAATTAAATTTGTCAGTAGAATTAAAAACCAAATAAAATAAATAATTTGACATGCAAAATAATTAATTGCTGGTTAAGAAAAAAAAATATTGGGTTTAAGTCATTTTTTTTTTTTAAAAAAAATTAAAGAATAATAAAAAAAAAAAAAAAAAAACCCCTACATGTATCCATTCTACCTTTGTTTATAAAAGATTCGTTTCTTGTGACAATAAAATATCCAAACATATATTGATAAGATCCAACATATATAAATTTTCATGTGGCCAAGCTTGAAATTTTTAAATTCAAATAAAATTTTATAATTTTAATGCAAAAAATCATCTGTGTATCGAGACCATTTTTTAAACAAAATTTGACACAATTTATAGTGGTTGGATCTAGGTGAAAATAATCGAATGCACGCGAGTGTTTCGAAAAGCTGACTAAAACTTGAACTAATCGAGTCGAACTCGATTACCAACTCGATCGAATCAATACTATAACAACCAAGTCGAGTTTGAGTATCAGTATACTCGATCGATTTCATCCCTATTGGATCAAACATTTGAGTTGTTGAGATTCAATCAAAATTCTATAATTAATTTATTGTATTTTTAATTTAGATTAATCTTAACCACAAAATACATTAATCTAACGTTTATAAATTGGTCAAAATTATGTAAAAAAAGTGGAGTTTCCGAACCTTCTCAAAAATATAATAAAATTAAAAAAAAAGGGAGAAGTTAGGAATTTGTGGGTTTTCTTAAAGGTTTAATACGAAGAAGAGGAAGGAAGTAGAAGGTAAGTACGGGTGTAACCCTAGGAGGAGTGAAGAGAGAAAACGAATAAAAGTTGTTTGGATATGGGAATAAGTAGGCTGCGGCTTTTGAAGATAGCCAAAGTGTGCACGTGAATCCAGCCAATTAGGAGGGATAGGATAGGAATTTGCCAATTCACACTTTACATAAATGAAGTTTTAAATTAAACACAATCTACTGTATCTTTGTTTTTATCAATCTTAAACAAAAAATATGGAGTTTTTAAAAGATAAACGTTTTTCCCACCCAAGGTTTGCTAATGAACTTTTCACCAAACAGTTTCAAAAAACACTTCCCAAAGTTTATATTATAATACTCAAATATACTTCACTTTCTAGCCGACGTCACGAATTACAGGAGTTAGTGTAAAAGGAGTTTTTAAAGTGGAGTCGGTGGAGTCGATGGTGATAACATAAGAATATTCACGTAAAAAATTAGTAAGAACATGAAACCAGTTTTGCTGGACCGACATTAACAAGAAATAGGTGCGAGTGAGAGGGTTTTAAAGAAGAGACAGAAGTTCAAATGGTGATGAAGAGAGAATTTTCTCCGCTGGAATTGATTTTGGGTGTAACGAGTAACTTTGGTGGGTGCAAGGAAACTTGGAAATCTTCTTTAAAATTATATATAAAACCGGGGTGTTCGGCCTAACTTCGTGCACTCAACTAATCTTCGAGCTCATCAAACTAATGTTCCAGTAAACCTAAATGTGATAATGGTCTTAAGGTGGTTTAAATCCAGAAATCAATGAAAAAAGCAAACTTCTAACCAACCAATCCCTTAAAGTTTTAAAATTATATTTGTCAACGCATAAAGATCCATATATTATATATAAAGTCCCACTTAACTAATATTAATCTTGCACCAGTGTAATTGAGTTGATAATTATTATATTTGTACATATTTTTAGATTAACCAAATAGACTACCTAGAAGAAGAATAAAAAAAAAACAAATGTTACACAATCATTCCAATCATAGTAAAGCTGCAAGTACTTAAGACCAAATCAAAAACTAATTAACAATAATAATTGCAATTAATTAGGAAGATTGGGTTAATGCATGAAGGTTGGCCCATTTGCAGAGCTGGTAGTAGGCCTCCCACTAATGATTGGTGTCAGGAGAAGACAAAAACTGCAAATGGGGTCTTCTTCTTCTTCTTCTTCTTGATTTGTAATGTAGCATTTGCAATCATGGCTCTCAAAGATTCACCTATTTTATTTATTAAGGCAGCTGTTTCAATCATTTGGTTGGTCCATTTTGTAATTGGATTTACTTGTTTAATTGTGTGTGAAAATTAAGCAAATTTGTATGGAGAAAAAAACTAAGATTATGAAAGGGAATTATGTGTTTCCATCCACCATCGGTAGTTAATGGTGAAAGAGTAAAAATAGTTTCATAAATTCTGAGTTCGAGTTCTCCCAGGCACTAATAGGGGTGACCACGGGGTTTTATTTAGTCAATAGTTTTTACAAGTCTAGAGAGATAGGTGAGGTATTTTTGGAAAATCATATCTTAATCAAGTTCCAAGCCCGTACATACATACATCATCTTATTTGAAATGGCATGTAAATGGTGTTCTGTTATCACAACTTAAAACACACACAAACACAGTGAGAGAGAGAGACTGGTTGAACAGTTGTGACCTCAGGTTTAAGTCTCAGATAATGATAAGAAAATTGTTCATACAGCAGACTGAAAACAACTCCAATATTCAAAGGTTTGCAATGAAAATACTGAGAAGCAATATAAAATAAGGGCAATGAAATTACAAATGCAAGCACCAATAACAAAGCAGACTTTGGAGGCAATAAGGAAAAGGGTTAACTAGTGCAGGTCCCATCAAAATAGGGTCTTGGACGAGAAGTTTTAAGTATTGTTCAATCTCAAGATACAGGCCAGCTCTCTTGCCCCTTAGCACCTGACTTTTACTAGCTAAAGTCAAGAAGTTTGAATTTCAATGGAACACATGTAACTAGCAATATTAGGCCCTTAACAAAGGAATCCAATTCAAACTTTTAGACGCATGCAGTTCATACAATGACAATATTACATGATCTCATGGAAACATGTTGAATCAAGAAAGGCAACATTCATCTCTGTGGCTGTGTCAACATTATTCCTTCATGATGAAGCTAAAGTAGACATTCTTGACGTTTGTGATAAGGTGATCAGTCTTTAATTTCCAGCTCCATCTTCTTCTTATATCATATACTGTATATCATCGTCTAGGTAAGCTTTTGCATGTTATTCTAGAAGAGAACTAAGTTTTTGCCTCATTAACAGAACTTCATTTATCTTTTAAATATGAAAATAGTTCTAAAGAGGCAAAGATTCACGTTGATTGAAGCTACTTCCGAATATCAAATTTCATATAAAGTATTTTCTAAACTTAGACAATTTCAAGAAAACAATAGTATACACGCTCTAACAAGCAGCATTAATCCTTATAAAATTTCACTTAAATCAACAGTCCAACTACAAAATGTACTTTCATGATAAGGCCGATTCCACACAATCAAGTAACCAGTAATGGATAAATCAATAAGAAAAATCCTGCATAACATAAATTAAAATACTTGAACTGCAATAATATTGTTAACCCAGAAAACAAATGGAAATGTATTCATTACTTGTGATCCATCCCAAAGCTGACCCCAGTAAACACTTCCAAATCCTCCTTCTCCGAGCTTGTTATCGTAATTGAAATTGTTCGTGGCAGAATGTAATTCCTTCAGTGAAAAAATCCTCCATGTTGGCTCTTTCTTACTCCTGTCGCTCCTATAAAATATCAATCTACATTAATCAAACCACCAATTCATAATCAAACACCATAAAACATATAAAGATTACCCTCTATTCAACAGCTTAAACTAAGTATTGATTACCAAACTAAATCAGCAAGCTCAGTTAATACACATAATTCCATTTTCAAATTCCTGTTTCCACTTACCCACCTAACAAATCATAAAAACGACAACTCTATTCACCATTAATCATTTCCAAAATCTAAACTAAACCATAAACAAAAACCATCCAAATCAATCAAAAAAAAAAAAAAAAAAAAAAAAAAAAACATTACCGATCTGAAGGCTTGATACACAAAAGATAGAGCGAAACGTCATTTGAGCTTCCACCAAATAAAAACCCACTTCCCTCCGTTGATTCTTTCGCAGTTTCTCGGTCGGTTTGATTTCCCCTTTTTCTTGGTATCAGTTGATGCCAGTTATTAAGCGGGTGGAGAAAAGATACAAAGAGTAACGCGCACACATTCCTTAATTTAACTTTTAAATGTTTTAAATATTCCGTAATGGAAGAGAGGTGGGTTTAGTTTTGTTGAAGAGATAAGACTCGAGTGTTGCTCTGGTACAGAGAGATGTTTGCTAAAATGTTTGATTGAATTGAATTCCAGTAAAAATTAAAAAAAATTGGGACAACGTGTGTAGAGAAGGAAGCTAAGGTCTTTCTTCTACTTCAACAGGTCCTGTCTTGAAGCTTGTTCCTTTTTTCAGTTTTTTTCAAATTTAGTGGACCCTGTTACTTGATTAAAAAAAAAATTATTTTATTTATTTTTATTTTTAAGTTTTAAATTTTTTATAGTATAATATTGCTCAGTTTGTCACCATCTTCTGTACCCCACTATGTTACTGTTCCTGCAAGTTTACTTTTTTTCTTTTTATTATTATTTAAGATGATGTAATAAATAGTATTCTTCTCATAAAGAAGACGGTTTGGAATTTTTTTAATCCATTCCGTTTCGAAAGTATTTTCAATAGTCTTTATTAAGGAATTGTTAATTTTATAAGAATATTCAATATCTGTTCCGTTTCGGAAGTATTTAATAAGTTTTATTAAGGAATTTTTAATTTGATAATGTTTTAACTATGATAAAATTATTTAATAATTGATAAATTCAAGGATTTTTATGGAAATTAAACGTGGTAATTAGTAGATGAAATCGTTACATTTAGTGGGTAATGGGCAACCGTTGTTATGAATTTGATTAATGTATTATTGGATATTTTATTTTAGTGTATATTGAAGAGTAAACGACTTTTTCCCCCCCAAGGTTTGCTTTAATGACACTTTCCCACCCAAAGTTAATATCTTTGTTCTACTCAAAGTCGATTTTGACTGCAGAAATTATCTATGTACGCTACCATTTGAACCTTTGGTCTCCTCTCTATAAATCTCTCTTAATCTTACACATGAGTTCTTACCAATTATAATCACCATAAAGTTAAAATTTCTTGTTCTTAACTGATTTTCGGCTGATTCCGCAACAAATATTAATCAGTCACCACCATTTGATCCACAGATATCCATTCTACAAAATCCTTTTTACTCTAACTCTTGATAACTCGTCGAATACCGACTGAGAATACAGTGTATTTTGGGTATTAACGAAATATAGACTTTGTAATGATATTTGAAACTTTTTGGGTGGGAAAATGTCATAAAGGCAACCTGGGTGTGAAAAAGTCGTTTTACTCTTACTGAAATGTGACAAATGTTCCAAAATCAACTTGTCTTGGACCATTTTACAACCCATTCTTATCTCTTTACAGCATCTAATACTATCAACATCATGATCACGTCATAAAAATTGGGCATTTTTCTTTTTATTAATGAATAGGGTGATGATGTCTGTGAAATGACTTAATTGACCTAACTATTTCCATTAAAAATAAAAACCAAATTCATTTGATTGATGCCTACCAATTTATATAGATACCTATTTTTTCACAATCCATAAAATTGGAAACTTTCATTTATAAATGTCTCAATTATAGTATATGGTTCCGAAAGAGATAATACAAAAAATATTATCAAATTTTAAACAAATAAATGAAGAAAAGACGGTAAAAAATCAGTGAAATTGCTGGATTAATCTTAATATTTGATTTTTTATATATACATTGAAACTATAATAAATTAACAGAAAATTAATAGATATAGAGGGAATTGTCAATTGCAATTAAAAAACTTAGTATGATGGAGGCATTTAACCGCCCAAACAAGTATAAAACATAGTTTAAAATAAACTTTAGAAAAAAAAGTGTTACATTAAATTAATTATATTATGTAGTAGGTAGTGGTAAGTTCAACTCAATTATGTATCAACTATCAATAAGTCATAACAACATTCAATAACAAAATTAAATTTGTCTAGTAGAATTAAAAACCAATAAAATAATAATTTGACATGCTAATCTAATTAATTGCTTGGTTAAGAAAAAAAAATATTGGGTTTAAGTCATTTTTCTTTTAAAAATTAAAGAAATAATTAAAAAAATGTTTAAAAAAAAAAAAAAAAAACACCCTCACATGTATCCAATTCTACTTTTTGGTTTATAAAATTCGTTTCTCGTGACAATAAAATAATCCAAACATATATATTGATAAGATCTAACATATTACATAAATTTTCATGTGGCCAACTTGAAAATTTTTAAATTCAAATAAATTTTTATAATTTTTATGCAAAAAATCATCTGTGTTTATCGAGAACCATTTTTTAACACAAAATCTGACACATTATAAGTGGTTGGATCTACCGGTGAAACCGAGCTAAATTGCACGCAAGTTGAATTCGATTATTATTACAAAAAGCTCGACAACCGACTTGAACTGCAACTCAATACTACAACAACCAATCGAGTTTGAGTACCCGATACTCAACTCGTTTCATCCCTATTTGGATCAATCATTTGAGTTGTTGAGATTCGATACACAATTCTATAATTTCATCCCTATTTGGATCAATCATTTGAGTTGTTGAGATTCGATACAAATTCTATAATTAATATATACTGTAAATTTTTAATTTAGATGTAATCTCAACCATTGAAATACATTAATCTAACGGTTCATAAATTGTGTCAAATTTAGTAAAAAAAGTGGAGTTTCCGACCCTTCTCCAAAATATAATAAAAGAATTAAAAAAAAAGGGGGAGATTTAGAATTTTGCGGGTTTTCTTAAAGTTTAATACGAAGAAGAGGAAAGGAAGTACAAGGTAATGTTACGGGTGTAGTACCTAGGAGCAGTGAAGAAGAAAAACGAATAAAACGCTTGTTTGATATGGGAATAAGTAGGCTGCGGCTTTTGAAGATAGCCAAAATGTGTGCACGTGAATCCAGCCATTAGGGCGAGGATAGGATAGGAATTTGTCCATTCCACATAACATAAATGAATGATTTTTAAATTAACACTAAATCTACTGTATCTTATGTTTTATCAATCTTAACAACAAAATATTGAGTTTTTAAAAGAATAAACGAATTTTTCCCACCCAAGGTTTGCTTTAATGACACTTTTTCACCCAAACAGTTTCAAAATAACACTTCCCACCCAAAGTTTTATTCCACGTTAATACTCAAAATATACTTCACTTTCCTCCGACGTTCTACGAATTACCAGGAGTTAGTGTAAAGGGATTTTATAAAGTGGAGGCTGGTGGATCGAATGGTGATAACATATAGAATATTCACGTAAAAAATTAGTTAAGAACATGAACCCTAGTTTTGCGATGACCGAGATTAGCAAAATTAGGTGTCGGAGTGAAAGAGGTTTTATAGAGAGACACAGTTTCAAATGGTGATGATAGAGATAATTTTCTCTGCTGGAATTGATTTTGGGTAGTAACGGATAACTTTGGGTGGGAAATTGTCTTTAAAATTATATATATACCCGGGTGTCCGGCCTAGCTTACGTGTACCTCAACTAATCTTCGAAGCTCATTCAAACTCAATGTTCTAGGTAAGTCACAAATGTGATATATGGTCTTAAGGTGGTTTAAATCCAAGAAGTCAATGAAAAAAGCAAACATTCTTGACACTAACTAATCCCTTAGAGTTTTAAAATTATATTATCAACGCATAAAGGATACCATATATTATGTTTATATAGTCCCACTTATCATAATATTAATCTTGCACCCGAGTGAATTGAGTTGATAATTATTATAATTTGTACATATTCTTTAGATTAACCAAATAAGACATATCCTAGAAGAAGAATAAAAAAAAAAACAAATGTTACACAATCATTCCATCATAGTAAAGCTGCAATACTTAATGACCAAATCAAAAACTAATTAACAATAATAATTGCAATTAATTAGGAAGATGTGGTTAATGCATGAAGTTGTTGCCTTTTTGGCCGATTTGCGAGCTGGTAGTAGACCTCCCACTAATGATTGGTGTCAGGAGAAGACAAAAACTGCAAATGGGTATCTTCTTGTTCTTCTTCTTCTTGATTTTGTAATGTAGCATTTGCAATCATGGCTCTCAAAGATTCACCTATTTTATTTTATTAAGGCAGCTGTTTCAATCATTTGGTTGGTCCATTTTGTAATTGGGTATTTACTTGTTTAATTGTTGTGATTAAATTAAGCTTCATTAACCAATTGTGTGAAGAACAAACAAAATTATGAAAGGGAATTATGTGTTTCTATCCACCATTGGGTAGTTTGATGGTGAAAGAGTAAAAAGGTTTTATAAGTTCTTGAGTTCGAGTCATTTCAAACACTAATAAAGATGGTCATTGGGCTCTTATCTGGCCAATAGATTCACAGTCTTGGAGATTATTAGGTACGCGCAAGCTGACCCAGACACCCCGATGATAAAAAAAGAAAAAAAAGTACGTATTTCCCTCTTTACTTTCTAATACTCACAACTTTTGTATTAAAAGATTTGTAAAACATAATCTCATATCGTAATTCAAAATGATCATAAAAATAGATTTTTATTTATAACTTTCTTTAATTCGAAAAGAGTTATATAAATTATTTGATTTTACTTATCACCGTTGAAAAAATATGTTAGTTTTGTAATGAAGACTCCCTAATTGATTTTTATTTTTATTTTAGAAAAAATATTGTGAGTGTTTTTGAATTTCGAGCATAATTCATATTATTTTTCGATGTTATACTTCTACAGGGCAGTAACAGGATTTTGAGATTGAGACAAAACCAGCCCATGCCCATAAAAGTAAGGCAAAATTTGAGGCCCAAAGAATCTTAAGCATAAAATTGCTATAAATTAACAACCCAACTTATTTATATTGAAAAGATTGAATTACAATTTTATTTACAAAAAAAAATAAATAAACACAATACTATGTTAGTTGATGCAATCCAGCAGTGGACTGAAGCTTATGAATTGCACCACTTGATCCTGCCTCATCTTCATCAAGTGTAGAAATATGTTGCACCGACCTCCCTGGAACGGGTGGACCTGTTTTACATAACCCGATGCCTGAATTGGGGACGATCCAAACCATCTTCAACCATTCTTTGCCTTGTAGCAAAGTCCGAATTATTGTAAAGCCTAAGCTTTCTTTTCATCCTCCAAACCATTTCTTCTC